AGTCAGACTACTTAGCTATTTAGTAAATCTTCAGTATTATGCCAGGTAGACTTTTTTCTTTAATCTTTTGTTAATCTTTCTATTTTCTCAGTAAAATAAAATAGATTGGTATATAGTACAGCATTTGAAAAGTATGTATATGTATGTATACACACATGCACAATAAAATGAAGTTGATATTAGCATAAAAGTAACATTAGCTGCACTCCTTACAAGATGCAGTCTTGGCTTTCAAAGTATCACCTCTTCAAAAGTGGGGTTTCAATCTGTGCATTTTCAGTTTGGATTGAGTTTGTTTTGGATCCAGGTGTAGCCAATGGTGATCTGAATTCAATGAAGTCAGAAGAAGATAATAATTCAAGTTCAGTTCTGGTTTTTCACAAAACAATGGTTCAAATTACTCTTCAGTTTTGGTTCTACTTCCTGCTTAACAGCCATGTAAAGAAAAATGTTGGGAAAAATACCTCAGTAGGACTAATAACTGAGGCTACTCTTTCATACTATCCAAATAGCACCAATAATAAAAAAGCTTTCATGTCCGTCTTCAACAGTAACAACAAAACTGTTTGTCCCTTACTACCAGTAGTAGCCAGAACTGTGAATGTGACTTCCAAACTTACAGGCTGCATCTGTGCCAGTAAGTAAAATGAGCCAAGACCTGTTGTTCTGGCTCTGAAGGAAAGAGGTATAGCACAGCACAGCTGATACGTACACAGCTAAATTGTCTCCCCCAACCGAGCTGGCCTCACCTCTGGGAGAACCAATCTGTTGCTACTCCTGAACTGTGTTTAAGCACTATCTATCTAGCACAGGTTAAACCATGCCAGGAAGCAAGCTAACAACCTCATCCTGCTCTGGGACATTGAATCCCAGTTCTGGACGGCCTGTTAGGCCTGCACAGCTGCTGATGCCACTCTGGTAAGAGTTGGGCTCACTACAACCTTTTGCACCTTCTTGCGGGTTTGCATCAGTCTGCCACCTCTGACTTCTATAGTGACCTTCCTTGAACCAGGGACTATGTTTTTGTTCCATGTTCATACAGCGCCTAACACAGGCCAGCTTCTATCTGGGAATAGAGGTCCAGAAGCTGCATTGAAATAGATTTAATGGGGAAGCACAACCTATATACAGTGTGCAAAACTCTCAGGCAGGGTAAAATATGAGAGGCTCTATATGCACTATGGTGGGTTCTTGATCCACACTTCAGCTTGTGCAGTTTCCGGATCATAAATGCGTGCCGCCATCATGTACCCTGGTGACTACTCTCACCACCTGAAGCCTAGTGTGATTTCAGGGGACCATCATTTCTCATGAATAGGCCATTAACACATAGGTAGGGAAAAAAGGTGACTGTGAAATATCCTAAAGTCAAATACAAAACTAAAAAAAAAGGTGACTGTGAAATATCCTGAAGTCAAATACAGAACTAACAGAACTGCCCCAAACTGCCGTTTTCTTAATCAAGAACCCCTAAAGCCAATGTTGGCTGTATAAAACTAAAATTGCTTCTGGCCTGTTTTATCATGTGCTGCTCTTGTATACTGGACAGGCATAAGAACCTCCTTCAGAGCTGTTTCTGTGGGCCAGAACGCTGCTCTCATGTGTCTCCATCTGGATCGAATTCTAGCTCTTCGCCTCTTCGTTCCAGAAGCACACCACCCCTAGCGTCCATGGGGAGGGAAGAAAAAACGTCCTCATGTCAAATATTTGGTGTCTCACTGTTTTTCAAGACAAGTCAATTATCCCTTTTCCCCTGGTTCAGCTGAGGTTACCACACTAAATCTGTACAACGGCCAAGAGGAAAAAGAGAGTGATATTGCTAGTGATTAAACACAGTTTGGTGAGTTAATATTAAAACTGTGATCCACGTCCTTTCTCTGTGAATGATAACAAAATCAGGAGAAAACGAAGCAACAGCTTTGCCAGCATCAAGAGGATCAGTAGTACTCCTTCCCTCCTTCCAGGTACCTAAACTATTACATTTCAACTCTTCCAATAATTCCAACAATTTCAGTTTTGCTTACCAATAAAGATTTACTGGTCCTTATTTATATTTACCAAAGAAAGAACAGAAACCATAGAATATGCTAACTTGCTGAACTCCCTTGTTCAGAGACTTACAATAAGGATACATTTCCAGGACAGTACCCTCCCTTGTAAAAAACTCAGTTGCTCTCTCTGCCATACCCACAGACCCACTTTCTTTAAAACATGCACCTAATCCCTTAAAACTAAGTTTCCATAGGCCTATATATGATACTATAGAAAGCTTGTAACATCTTTGTTATACCACAAATCTAAAATTCACTTAAGGAAAATTACAGCATGTCCTCTGTTTTTTTTTTAAGCACATTCAAGTCTTGAATATCAATATATGACTACTCAAAAGAAGAAACATGAATGCAAAAAAAATTGTGACCTATTTTTCTCTATTTATTTTTTATCAAGAAGTTTTCAAATACTATTTGTGTCATTTGAACCCTTCTGGGAATCCTGAAGATATTTTCTCCATTTAGGTATTGAACTGTGCAGTTGCCAAGTTTGTGCCACTAAGTCTTCGAAAATTTGTTTAAGCAGACATAGGTGTACCACTAAAATAGGCCCAACCCTAAATAAAGTATCAACAATCACAAGTGTTTACCCTCTTTGTTGAAATGTTGGATGTCAGCTGCACAAAATACTATAGTATTTTATTTTAGAAATGTAAATTCATTCCATACAGTCTTCCAAATATGCAACTTGTATTTCAGACACAGATACCATGGGGGAAAAAGTATCCAGCTGTCTAGAACTCCAAATTCTCTCATTTGTACTGTCATTTAACATAAGACAAAATTTAAGACCAGACCTTAACTGTTTCCAAATGTTGTTTTTGCATAGTGTTTCTGCAGAAACCTTTAACCATTGTCAAACATCGGACCTCTGAAACAACAAACACATGCATTGTATTCCTTCAATTTTGGTTTCAGACATTTTTCTTTTGACTGCTTGGTATCATACATAAATCATGGTAATATATGATAAATACTTAATAACATTGAGAGCAAAAGGAGGCAAATTGCAAGTACAAATGATTTTAAGCATCAGTACAGACACAGAAAAGTCTTGATCCTGTGGGAAAATGACTGTAGGCATTGCAGTAGTAAAAATACATTCAGATTATAATTTTACCTGTAAATCTCTGAAGAAACTATCTGTCCTTTGAAACAATCTCACAAAAACTAAATACCAGCTTTAGCAAAGAAAAAAGTCTACATGCACTGTAGAAACTTGAACCCGAATACATGTGGGAAATGCAGAATACTGCATTGAAACAAAACGGAAGGGGTTTAAAAGTCTTCTCTCTAATCCTAGTATGTGTTAGGCTTTTTTTTCTGGAAAAAATATAACACAATGCTAAATGTTACTCAATATAAATATGACTTCCTTGAGTCTTATGAATAACCACAACCTCCCTTATGCCTCGCGAGTTGACTAGGAGCCTAAGTGGCCTGCAGCATGCTCCAATGTGATAAAAGCACTTTTGGAAGCGCAGCCGTGTTATCTAGTGACATGTACAAGGATTTCTAATGACATGACAATAAATGGCCGTAAGCTTCTTCACAGGCCAGAGGAAGGTGCGAGATCTATACTGAAGAAGGCAGCAGCAATATTTAACGTAGCTGACATCATCTTCGTTCCTTCCTGAATAATCATCTCTTTACACAAACCTCGACAGAAGCGTAGTAGCTTTGTAGCTTAGGGTCTCAGTCTGTGACATCGTCTTGACCTTCCCCTATCAGGAAGAAAACAGATAATTTGGCTGCAGGAAAGGGTAAACATCTGTGTTGAAGGAGAATTAAACAACAAAAATGATAAATTAAGAATTTTAGTCCTTGTTCTATGTTGACTTATTTTTCCATTTAAAAATAATCGTTTTGGAGAGTTATAGTTATGAGAATGACGTATGAAATAACTTACTTCTTAGGCATTTTATCTTTAAAAGTCATTAGATCTATATTCTATAGTGTAACTTACAATAAAAAAAAAAGTACGACCTTTAGTGATTTACCAATAATTTATTGTTTTGTATAATAAGGTAAGATCAGATTTCAGGTAAGACATCAACTAGTGATCTGATGGCAACTTCAAGTATAGAGCTTGGTACAATATTAAAAAAAAAAAAACATTTGCTTGACTATGGCAAACAGCTAAAACACAATAAAATGTCTGGACTTGACTGTCAGAACATACAATTCTCTAGAAACCCACACAGCACAACTTGAATATGCGTAGCATTAGAAACATCTTTAGTCATCTTCATTCACAAGTTCTTAGAAGTCAAAAGGAACAAACACCACCTCATTGGTATCGCCGAAGAAGTGAGTAAGCGGGTCCAGACTTCACTGCACCACGCAGGCTTCTGTCCTGTCAAAACTGTTGGGCTAAGACATTTTGTGCCTTGACCTGGTATTCATCTACGCCTGCCTCATGGACGCCAGTGGCTTCTGTTTTTGTTGGTAAGCAAACACTGCAGCAATGCTGGCTTTGAAAAGCACTCTAGAAATTTTATTAAAATTATTTCTCACTCCTTAAAGACTCCAGGCACATTTTACTCTGGTTGTTTGCTGGATGCATGTTTTTGTGGTTCCCTTTCTTTTGCAGGTGTTACAAGTCAGGAATTAACTTCTGGCTTGGAGACAGGGGCAAGCAGCCATCTGTCTAGGAAATTATTGCCAGGGCTGCGCTGGGGATCAGAGAGTCGGTGTCTCTGTGAAAGGAACAAAGCACCGTGCAGCTCTGCTGCCCGACACAGCAAACCCGCTGCAGAAAGTCCTCCGAGAACACACCGACTCAGGAATGGGATTTAAAATCAGTTCAAAAGGACAGGAAAAAAGCCTGCTAGACAGCCAGAACTGGTCCTAACAGAGAGTTTTCAGAATATTCTAGCATCTATTTCTTAAAGAGAAAAGCAGGTCCCTTACGTGAAAGTTATTTTACACTAATGCTCTGAGACACCCCAGGTTAGAAGCAGTGCTAGTAGAGTGTTTCATTAAAAACTAAAGCTCCTCTTGTCAAAAATGGCCAGATCCTGAGAGTTGCGCAGTGCCCTCACAGTTCCTGTTAGTGCACTCAGCACCTTGCAGGCAAAGGCAAACAGACATGTTGAATACCAGATCCCCTGAAAAATAGTTTGCTTTTCAGCAATAAAAAAAATAGAAAACATCTTTCTCAATTCACATTGCAACCTGCATGCAATTAATTTAATCAGCAAATTTCTATTTAAGTAACAAAGAAGTTTAAGTCCACCAGAAAAATGGTGAAATTTGACAAAAGTTACATTATAGCTGTTCAAACAGAGCATGTATCCGCACTGAGATTCAGTGCATGTGTAACTCTCGCATAAACATTTCCAGACTCCTAGGCATTTCACTGTTGTTGCTTACATTTCATTAGTTTTATACAACTTTAAGCCAAATGCAATGACCTACACATTAAATATGCCTAAATTCGCATTTAGAATAAAACTGCAAAATCTGATGGCTTTATATCAGCATAAAAAGTGAAACAGAGTATTTACATGGAATGCTGAGCTCAATTTACAAAGACGGCGTTTCAAATTACAGGGACCTAGTAATTTGTTCAATAAATGATCACATTGACAAGAAATTTGAAAACTTAACATCCCTTTTCAACCCTTTCATAAATATATAAAGTTTCACTAAATTCTTTTTTCTTTAAACAAGACAGCTCTACGCTCTTTACAGATTAACATGAAATAACTCCGTTTCCTGTTTGAATGCCACAGATGTGATGATCTGAAGTTAGCAAGTTCATATACACATTCTGTACTTACAAGACATATTCACAACACAATTAACACACAGGTGTTACTTGGTCTTTAGAGATGTACTCATTTCCTGCATATCAGTAGTAAATAAAGAAAATTACCAGATTATCTATACTATAATCTATTACACATTTGCTTACATTGCCACATCAAATTTAATATGAGGTTTCTAACTGTGTCTGACTAGTGTCAAGGATATTTTTTATACTGAGGTTTACAGCTTTTTTTATTTTTTTCAAATGGAGACAAAATGCCTGTTACACTATTAAAGAAGTATCACTACATTCTAAGCAATGGAAAGAGTTAATTTATTGCAACCGCTTCCCAGATCTCAAAGGTTTCCTCAATAATTATTTGAAAGTTTCTGATGGGAAAACTATTCTAAAGGGTGCTAAAAATGTTTGAAATCAATTTAAAGAAAAAAAGATTATTCTCCACTTTTTGCTATTCATACTAATATACCACTGATGTTACAGAAGATTAATCCCAAAGAAAGATTTTGAAGTTATATACATAGTAACTTTACCCTATTTAAATAAATATTCCCATGAGTTTTTTTATTGTGCCAAAAAGCATGCGTGAAAATATTTTCAATCCATGCATGCTCACAGCAGAGTATTTCACAATTAAGCCACTGAATACATCTTGCTTTTCACGACTATGTAAGTGCAAAGGAATACTAAAATCGCTCTGTACATGTAAGACAAGGTTCACATCTAAAAAAGTAAAAAGACTTATATTGATACTTAGTTTAATTAAAAGATGATGTCTGCCTCATAAAAATGTTGGTCATTTGCCTGTTTCAGTTCTCTCAAGCACTTAAAGGAAAATTTCCAAGTGCTGATGTGCTTTTTATGAGAGTAGTTATGTTTAAAACCACCACAAGTGCTGATCTCCAGTATTACTTAGTATCTTCTGCTAACTCTCCATTAAAAAAACTTACCTTGGAGATAGACTTACGAATGACAAAGAGGTGTTTGGCAGTTGTGTTACACTAGTATTAGCTCACTTTATTGAGCGTAGTAAGACCTGGGTTAAATCTGACTGTACTGTCCCAAAATTCTGAACAGAAGGATCGAAGACAGAAAAACAAGACCAATGTTTCAAGCACAAGGAAGACCGTACCTGTTCTTCAGTTAGAGTTATAAAGCCTTCCTACCAAGAAAACGGCCATTAAGTAATGCCTAAAAATGCACCATACGTGGATTCTGAGACATCAGCAGATGTTTTGCACATTTAAACGTTACGAATGCAGCCAGCTGACAGGAACCCAGAAGGTCTCAGTCTCCAATCTGTCAAAAGTTGTTTTGAGCTCACTGTAAGCTGTAGCAAGGTCATCGTTGACTATCACCTTATCAAAAAGATGGCCATACTGGCTTTCCATCACCTGAGCAGACTTAATCATTTCTTGAAAATCTTCTTCCTAATCAGATCAATGAAAGGAGTAGTCAGTCCACTGAAACATTAAATAAACTAATTCTGTAGTAAATCTAAAGTTATTTGCTTATTTCTCATGTCATCAGGAAACGGAAACTGTACTTTTTATTTAAAATTTTTTTTTAGAATTTACCATTTCCAATGATCACAGAGAACATTCTCACACGTAGACTTTGCTCAACAGGCAATTTTGTCATCTTTTCCCTTGCAGCAACACAATTAGTCACTAAATGGTAATTATAGAAGACTTTGTGTTAGGAATACCAGTGGAAAATGTTTCTAACTGCTTACTTTGATGATACGCTGAAAGCTTTGTTAATTTAAGTCTTAGCCTGCTATTATCAGGGGATATATTACAATACAGGCTTTATTTTTTTTAAGAGCTTGGTGGATGACCAAAAGATCAGTGGATTTCTATCCATGGTTCGGGGAGGGAACACATCTTAGGAATTTAATTGGTTACATAACTACGAGAGATGAAAACTGTCCCAAATAAACAATGTCCTGAGGAAAGATTACTCTTAAGAATGAGCTGCTTTTACATTTCATATACTATACAAAATATTCCAATAGTGCAAGAGTTCCAAACTATTCCAAAAGCACACTTTAGTGAGATACAGTCTGCATCAGTGACTCAGCTCGAAACACAGTCTTGAAGTTCTAAAGAATATCTGAATGAGGGGAAAAGATACACAAAGTAAATGTAGATAACAAAGTAACTGTGATCAGCTTTGCTTTAGCTTCAGTTAAGCTATTTCAAGGAAGCAAATAGTTTACTGTTGGATAACCTGACTAATATTTTTTTCTGATTATCGACAGAGAGTAGCATTTGCTACTTGCTTAGATTTTTATCTTTCTTTTTCATAGTGTTAATTTACCTGTAATACTTATTTTAAAAAAAATCTCTTACCAATGGATATAAGTTTTTAATTAAAGCAGCGTTTACTTTTTAAATTAATGCTTTATATTTGAGGTTTGCTCTAAATTTTGCTTCAATAATATACCTGACAAAACAATAAAGTTCTTATACTTAGAGACATCTGAGCTCACATGCAGCAGTTTTAAAGAAAATCCACAGCATTATTTCCCATAAAAACGTACTTCTTGCATTTTTGAGTTCAGAGACGACATAAAATCCAACAGAGCACCATGGAAATGTAAGTATGCGTGAGCATATCAAACAACGAAAATGCCACAGCAAGCTTAGGATACGAGGGAAATTGGTTACACTATGTATAAAGCCTAACAAGTACTGTGGGCAGGATCCAGTGAGGACCAGTAACAATCAGTAATTCCAAGGTAAACCACCACAAATAACTCTGAACAAGTTCTCATGTTTTTCTCAAGTCTAAATATACTTACTGTAAAGGGTTTTGCAGTTCCCCTGTCATCTTTGCTTGAAATAATCTTTGCATTTTTTCTGGTCTCTCTCAAACGGTCAAGTGATGGAGGCTTTATAAATATAACAAAAGGTTTAAATTCATATGTCCGTAAGTGTTTCACTGTCTGGGAAGAGGAAAGATTACAATTAGTTTATTTCTCATAGTGGAATTCTCTGTAATAAAAGAAAACTCTCCACTAACCCCCCAAAACCATAAAGCATTTCTAAAAGACTATTTTTCATTTAATGCCATCCCACTTTGTTGACCAGCATCAATTCATATAACAAGAATTTTTATGTGAATGGTAAGAAAATTCTTAATTTGCACATGGCCTGCTGGTAAATCCCATTAATCTGGCAAAAGTCAGGCTGACCTCAGTGTTGCCACCAGCAGCTGCAGAAGGGAGGAGAGCAACAGGAAGTTCAGCAAAAAAACAGTTACAAGATTTTAGAAGGAAAAGAAAACTTTCTATACCCATGAAAAGAAATGGGAAAAGGTGTTTGTGACACTCAGTCGCAACAAGTCAGTCATTTGCTCTCTTCAGTACCATCTATCCACTAAATAATTCCCTGCTGTTTATTCTTCCTGAGATAATCAGGTGACTCTACCTATGAAATGAGAGTTAAGTCTATAATTCCCACTGCAGCACTGCACAAAGCAGGGACGACCAGCTTTCTACGGTCTTGACGCTGCCAACGCTCACAGGAAAACGTCCTGTCAGAGAGCGGGATCCCAGAGCAGTTCACAAGTGGGAGGTCCCCAGGAGACTGAGCGCTTCGGGGGAAACCGAGCTGTGCCGGACACGCTGGGGGCTCACAGAGCGGCCTGGCAATACCGGCCGCACGAGCCCCCCCCTCCGTGCAAGTGTTCGCGGGCTGCCAGGGGTTCGAAGGCCACCGGCTTGGAGAGCCGCACAGAAGTCACACACCCTCAGAGAAGAAATAGCTTGGCTAGATTTAAACAAACTAGTCCAGCTCCTGGAAGCCCTGTAGTTATTAGTAGCATAAAATTCCCAGTGGGGCTGTTCAGCTGGGCTGAAAGACAAGGCCAACACAAGAACAAGTGGTTGAGACTGGAACGCTCTTAACAATGACCCGCCAGCGCTGCAGCTAGTGTGTGTTCCCTGCCTTACGCCCATCCTGCAGGGGAACCCTTTACGTGACCAGTCCTGTTGGAATCAAGTAGTTAAATGTGTGAGAGAGAGCTGCTGGACTGGAGAGCAGCTCCAGGATATTCTGAAATTAAAGCTGATTTTTGAGAGAAGCTCTAACCCAAAACAGCGAAAAGACGAATGAAAATACTGGAGCATTTTACAATTAAATCTTCAGCGTTATGCTGCAGGCTTTCAATTCAGTTAGTCACTGAGCTGAACGTTTGCCAATGCGTATTGAAGTTTCCTTCTCCTCCTCCTTCAGGAAGTCTTGCTATGATAAAGGTACCCAGCAGGCTTGGGCAATAGATATTCAGTGTGGCATGAAATATACTTTTCTACAGACAGAGTTTTTTCCTGGAATCTCAGTATGTAGCACAGGGAACTAACTACAAGACGCCAAAAGAAGTGCTTACTTACATGAGGCTGCACATCCAACAAACAAACTTTGTTTTTAGCTAGAACTGATCGAACAGAGTCTAAACTTGTACCATAGTAGTTGTTCTTGTATTCGCCATACTCAATAAACCTGTGGCAGAAGGGGAAAACAACTGGAATCATTTCTATTTTCTCCAGCAAAAACTTATCAGTTTGGTTTATAAGATCTAATTCAGGAGCAGATATATTTTACTTTACATGTGAGTTTTACCATGTTTTATAAAGGAAATGCTGTCAAGTACTTCAGCATGTCAATTTTAAGAAATCTTCTATTTTACCACTTTCAAATCAGTAACACCTGCTTGTATTACAGTTAAAGTGAAAAAAGTACTATAGTCCAACAGCCCACTAATGTTTTCCATCACCTCTTTTTCTGAACTAATGCAACGCAATAAAACAGTGGATAAGCTAAACAATAGAAACTACTGAAATTTCATTGCACACTGCAGAATATCCAAATGCTCTGTCTCAGAAGAGGAGGAGGAGCTATGATGGTGCTAATGGAACCAAGGCGGCTGGTTATGTGCTATAAAAGTACAAGCACTACTTGCCAAAAAAGCAAAGCACAGTTTGAAGTTTCAATAAAACCCACAGCTTTGTGTCTAATACACTTTTGCCCTCTGAAACACTGGGGCAGAATTTCAAGCTACAGTATTTTACAGGCTGCTAGGGAGCATGATGCTATCATTGTCTTCGTTTTGGTTTAATTTCTGGAGGGTTTAGGGTGAGGGGCTTCACTGTAGGTCTCTAAATTCAAAAGAACAGGAAGTGCCTGTCCTGCAAGAGAGCATAACTACACAAACACCGATTTAAACATGTTTGCAGCACTTCCAGACCCCCCTCCTGGGGCTGCAACACTATACTGCCATGACAGATAATGCCCTATTAAAAGAGCGCTCCCCCATCTTGAACACCAACAGTTTCAGTGTCGTACTGACGAGCTGCAATACTGAAACTACTTGGAAACTCAGAAACATTTCTGTTTTGCACGTAGTAGTTTTTTGTTCTGTGTTTTTTGCAGCTGTTCTGAGCTGCTTAGATATTAAAATGTAATTTTTACACATCTTCAAATCACTGCAACTTACATCCACTTTGAAGTATTACCTAAAATTACAACCAGCCCCATTTTAATAATAAAGCCATTGTTTTAACTGTGGTTCAGTTTCAGGTAAAATCTTTTCAACATACTTGTTGTTCTGTACATCTGTCTCAAACAAGTGCTTGGAAATGAAAACGTATTCAACACCATCACTTTCTTGGCCTCTTCTTGCTCGGGTAGTGTCTGCCGTTTCATTAAAAGAAAAAAAAAGGATAAGATGCACAAAACAATGTAATGTAAACCTGTTCAGGAAGCATTAAAAAGTGTACAGGCCTTTTGTGACACTAAACACAGCAGTTCCCTAACTTCCGATGGACTTAAGGCTGCTCTGGATCTGGTAGGCGGCGCTTGAGTTTAAAAGCATGCAAAGGAAAAAATTTACTGGACAAGTGTCAGATTATCATTTTTATTAACTAGTGGAAAAATCCCAATAAAATGAGAACAGACAGCTGAACAATAAAATGAACAGCAGTCCGTAACAATTACCCCAACCTTGCCACTTGTTAAACTTATTAGCATATGAGACCATAAAGGGAAACAAAGTTCACTAACCTGATTTATAAAATGTTATGTTCATTAACAATGCTTGTAGCTATGGTATGTGAAGCATGAAAATAGAAAAATGGGGTGTGAATTTTATGTTTTAGTGCTTTCCTTTTTCTGGTGATCAAAAAGGCATTCCTTTTTCTTTCAGTAGTCTTGTATTATTATTTACGTCATATATATTTCCTTTTTACTTCCCCTCAAGTACAAGACAAAAAGGGGGATATGCAGAATGCCACAGTACAATGTATGCCAAAGTACAAAGGCTTTGCTTTTGAATAAAACTTTGTTGTGGGGTTGCAACTTATGAATAACGAGTCCACTCCAAATTCATATTCATTACAATTTGCACTTGACAGCATCATGTATTCTCCACCACATATGAACATACCTGCCCTGCTGGCAGAAACACAGCCTGAAATGACACTTGATGTCATGTTTTTCTTAGGTTGACATGAAAAGAAACATTTCCAAGACAAGAACACCTGGTCTCCTTGAAAGTCCTGACTTGCTGAGTTTCAGAGAGGGATTTCTTTATTTGTTTTTTTTTTTCTTTTTTTAATTATAGTCACAAATTTTGAGGAGAGAAGAGAAAAGGCAGTTTGATGAACACTCGCCATTTTTAGTGAAATATTTTTGGGCAAGGGATTGCATATGCTTCAGTATGTTAAATATTTGGGAACATTTTGCTTTTTTGTTGTTGTTTTCAATAGCCAGCTGAGGCAAATACTTGCAAATCAAATGAACTGCTGAAAACAAATGTAGGCATTTTTCCACCTAGCAAACATGTTCATATATACACTTTATAGAATACCCCTATTTGCAAAAAAACTGGGACAGAATCTCCCAAACTCAGAATGCTGGACCCATATTTTTAAAGGATCCTTCTGGGAGGTAAAATTACAGGTAGAGAAAGCAGACCACTGAATAAAAGTTTAACTAAAGCTGTCAAGTCCCCCACAGTAAAGAAAAATCCAGTAATGTTCCTACAGAACAATGTTATACAAATTACACAACTTGATCAGATATGGGGAAAGAGGAAAAAAAAACAAATAAACTTTTCTAAGGCTAATCAAATGGATTTAAATCATTTATTCATAGGATGAAACTGTTTATCATCGGTCTTAATTTGTCAGCCTGTCTAAGGTTATCTAATATATAAAGGCCATTTGGCTGCACAGAAAGGAAGCGTTGGTAATGAAGTATGCTTCACTACTTTGCAGCCAAATCCAGGGTGATGGTCAGACGAGTTTAATTTACTAAACTCTGTTGACATGAAGCATGTCACACTTGCACTAAATATCTACGGCAATGCCTCTGAGCCAAAATGTCTTATCAGTTTAATCAACGCTATATACAATACAACTGCAGCAGCACTTTCAAAGATTAGAAAAGTGATTTGGATGCCAAGTTTAGACTTAGATGCCCAAATCTGAAAATGCTTTCTGTTAATGTAATAATAAAAGAAACTAAGTAGAGCAGTAATAGAGTAGAAATGTATTTTTTACTTACGTGGCACTGTTACCCCATAATGCTGGGTGTCACTGATCAGTAATTTCCGTTTAAGCTCGTTCAGTCCAACCCCTACAGGACCTGAAAGAAAAGTATCATGCTTTTTCCCAACAGATAGTTTTCTCTACTCTTAAGGCATAAATACTTTCTGAGATGAGACTACAAACTATACAGCTACAATATATATTGGCTTTTTAATCAGAGTCATTCAGAAATGCCCACGGATGTAGCCTCTCCTAGAATATACAGAACTGATGAATTTCAGCAGATTAGAGCTGGAAGTTACTCTGTTCTAACGTTACTGCTCTTGAGGAAAAATCAATGAAAAAGTTGACAGCAAAGACAACTTTCTTCTCTTCTGTAGCAACTTGCGCTCCCCTCATTCCCTTCCTTCAATATACACATATTGCTGTCCTCAGGCCTGCTACAGACCCCTGCACCTTAACCAGCAGCTTTCCAGCCTAACACCTTGATTTGGCTATTCATTCTGCAGGAAGATCCCAAACTGTCGTAGACTAGACCTCACACGTGGTGTGCTTAGCTCTCCGCTCCCTGCAAAGCTTCTGCGCTCCATGTGTCAGCATGGCCTTTTCCTCACAGCCTCTAGTTTCTGCATTCCTTCCCCAGGAGAAGAATCGCTCCCACTTTGTCCTCCTGGCCTGTGCATACTGCTCCTTCCAGCCCTGGCAGCAAACTTCAGACAGAAACAGAAAGCACGGTCTGGACCATGGCAGGATGCAGCTCTTCCCACCCGTCTCTCGAGGAGGTCAGCACAGGGTTGCACAGGGACAGCAGCTTCCCTCCATGCACAGAGCGTTTTCCGGGCCACAACCTATTTGGGTGGTTTTGTTTCTTCCTTTGTGTTTTTTTTTTTCTTTTAAATGCTGCTTGTCTTCTGCCTGCTGTCTGAACTGGTCCAAAATAAATGTTTCCTTCTTCGTGTGGCTGCCAAAGAGAGACCCCTCTTGGAAAGAGGATGGCAGAAGAAACAAAGCCCACATGGCTAAGCCTCAGGGCTTCTTTTACCCCTCTCCTCCAGCTTCATCTGAGTCCTGCTGTCCTGGAAGTGGATGAGGAGACAGTCCATGTGCCCTCCTGGCTATCCCCAACTCTGGCCTTTTGGCTGTGGTGCCTTCTGTGGAAGGGGAAGTTTCAGGGAGGTCATGCAATCCCCAGCGAGGGCTCACAGGCTACGCGGGGCAGTGGCTCACCGCTCCCAGACCCCCTTCCTGCGAGCTCTGGCCGGTCTGCCCGGCAGGTGGAGGGGCCCTCGGCTTCAGGGGGGCCACGGTGTCATCAGAGTGTGGAGGCAGCATGGCTTGGTGTGCTCGTGTGTGTCTGACAGTGCTCTGTGTCCTCAGAGCCAGGTCAAGAGCAGAGCTTAGAGGACGGTGAGTCATCTGAAGCATAACCCAAATAATACAGGGACAATACATGTGCTTTTAAGGAAGAATCTTGCTATTCTCATAGAAGCAATGCACATATGCACTGAATGCTTTTTAATAGAGACATTTTATAAACTAGACATAAAATCCTATAAACATTTGAATGAAATAGTGATATATTGGCTAATTACTATTGAAAGCCTGGCATCAGGAAGCAAAGACTGATGCTTCAGCACCTTCAGGTGCCAATTTGCAGAAATGACTACCCAACCTGTCTGAAGTCAGAAACACATAATGATGAAAAGCAAATGCTTTCTACTGTCCCTAGACTGTGGTCTCTCTGTAAAATCTTAGTGTTTCTGCATTTATAATTTTATATGTTTACATAAGTTAAACATACAACTACATTTCAAGTTCCATCTCTGACCTGCCTGTAAATTAATCTATCAGTATGTATAAATGTTTATTTAATATGGTGTACAGCAGCCTCTACTGGTGCATGTCTGCAGAGGAAAGCAATGTGTCATGCAGCTAATGGCATTAATTTTCTTCTCAGTCCTTTTCCTTTTCTAATTGTACAGTTATTTAAACAAATAAGGATTTTTGCAGGGAAAGTAATTAAAATTCTCAATATATCTTAGCAAAACAGAATGAAACAATAAGTGCAATTCATGTCAAAAATCACTGTATTTCTTTCAAGCAAAAAAATATTTCCCACCAAAATTACACAAATATTATTTCCTTAGGCTACTTTTAGCTCTATTTACATATAAAGAACCCAGACTTCGCGTACTGTGATGATGCTTTTGAAACGTAGATCAAGTCTTTTTGCAGATCAAAACCTCACTACTACTCTGTCTCCCCTTACAGATAATCACTTAAAAATCACCTTTGAATTTAACTACTGAAAGGCATAGTCTTCTGTTTCAGTGCTGTCTTTGTAGAACTCTCGTAAGTGTAGCATATTGACACTGAAGGCTGATACCTAATTAGCAGTGCCATTAATTATGCTTTTTTTATACTACGTTTCCTGAGTGTAATGTATGCTTCTACTCTGAATATTCACTTTCATGTACCAAGAAAGATATGGGTTTCTAATAAATATGAATCTGAACACATGATTTGAACTCAAGAAGAGAACAATGCATCAGGATTAAAAAAGACAATCCCAGTTCTAACAGTAAAATGCCAGGGATGTGAGACCCATGACTGCAGGAAGGTTTAGCTTTACTACAGATCAACCCATGCAGCAATATTTAGTGTAATGGCAAGAGACTTAGGGATATTTTGTTTATTTTTAGGGGAATATTTATGTCAACTGCTGTTCCTTCTTGAGCCATGTAAACTAAGTTATGGTTGAATCCTGCAAAAACAAACTGTAGTGCCTGCCTTGCCTTATTGACAGACTCTTGCAGACTTATACCACAAATCATTAAAACTTGCCTCAAGTTTTGCATCATATAGACATGTCTGAAGAAAACGGGAAATGACATTTTATGAAAGTTCATGACTCAGGAGGGTTAGCCTGACAAGCCATTCTTCACAAATAGATACATACTGAGCTACTAGAATGTATTTATTTGAGAGATAAGAAAGAAAGTTGTCTTTCAGAAAAGATTTTGAAAGCTGGGTAAGAGACTGATTTCTGTACCTAAATTATTCCTTCTCTCCAGTACAATTGATTGCTACAATGCAATGACTGCACATGCATGTCCAACTGTAGCACTTGTGGAAACAATGAGATATGAGGTAGGAAAGTAGAACCTCATTATTCTGTGTTTCAGTAAATTATAACTAGCAGTGCTGTTCACTGAAGCAGGAACAGGGAGGTTATACTGCTGTTCCTACAGGCAAGGCTAGCCTATATAAATATTGCATTCTATGTAAATCAGACATTACTGAATCATGCTGACCTATCCATGCCTTCAGCCAGGAAGGTTTAATGGAGACACTAATGCTAAGTCTCTTTCTTCACTGTCCAGATGGTTTGCTTGAAGTAGCATGGGCTTAGTACGCCATTTTCCTACAGTATTGCTGTAGATCTATTAAGCCTCTGCAAGCTACTCTTCAACAGCCTTTGCAGATGTTAAAGGAAAGCCTGGAGAAGTGGAAAGCTAGGAGCTGCTTGCATCTCATCCTCCCTGTGCTGAGACAGATCTGGCTCTCTGCATAGCTTCTTCATGATAAAACTAAAAGTGATTGATTTTTTTTTAAAAATATAAGCAGTATAACAATATAGAGCTTTTCCAGAATGTCCTCCTTCCAAGGCTGAATTACAGATGCCTTTTATTTGCACCGTTGACCAGAGGGCACCACTGTGGGGAGTACTGACAGCCTAGCTCTGGGATAGAACACATTTTTTGATTTATGTCACATACCAATAATCACTGCTCCTTCACACTTCCACACCTCTAATCCTTGCTGCCACCGCTGTCCACTTAGGGCCCGATGCATCACCATGGATGGCCATAGCATCTGAAATGGACTACCCAGGCTCTATGTGCCTCTGGTAATCACACTATATGCACATAACTATATGTGTTCTGGGACACATGCTAATAGTTTGTTATCACCGAGCTTGCTTTATCCTAGCACTGGCCCTTTAAAAACCTGTCTTAGCTGATACTATGCCACGTAAAGTCATGGTATATGGCACATCCGTTCTGATGTTTAGGAAATACAATCTGTGCTAATCTGGCTCACACAATCACTGAAGAAAAAGCCTTTGTGAGCAGGACTTTTCCTCATTAACATAAATAAAAAATTTTTAAAAATGAATTTAATATTAAAATATTCTGCCTTTCCTTAACAGGGCTGCAAGATATCACTCTTAGAACGCATGCAACATTTCTGAAGGGAAGACTTCAAGGATGTGTAGGTAGCCTGGGAAAAGTAAGTCACCAGAAAAGGACTAGCTATATGATATTGGATAATTCTGTTTTCAGCAGACTCATCACATTCATAACAATTAAAAGACAGCACAGGAGAAGAACCTGCATTATTATTGCTACAGATGATCCATTACTTTAGCCCCAATGATATGTTGACTTTATTCATGGATGTACACTTGCAAACAAAGTAAAATCTTGACAAACTATTATGGCTGGTTGAACCTGAACCTAATGTATCTCACAGTAGAAGGGACTAAAAATTACCATACGTGTAACTTGCATTCTGTCAATTGGACCAGAACAATTTAAAATGAAGCCAAAAGAAATTTCCACTTCAAAGTTGTCAGCCTCCCCGTCCTCCCCTCAAAAAGAACAAAGCGAAAACCTAAAAAACCTTCCAACAGTAAATCATGTGTTTAGTCCTAGCATAAGACATTGCATATGTCATGCCTCCACCAACTACAATTATAAGTTAATTATCTGTCCTTTTTTTCCTAGTACTAAAATCCAAATTATATTTGACAGACTATATTGAATGCTGCTACTGGCACACAAAAAGCTTTTTAAATGTGTTCCCTTCTGCTATACCTGTGTTGCTTAGCTCTGCTAGTTTTTCCACATTTTACCCAAGACATTTTTATGGTATTGGCCAGACTTAAGCTGCTCTTAATATCCAGAGAAAAAACATTAGAATTACTGAAGTCTGCAATAAATTTCTGAACTGCTTTTGTTACTGAAAAAGCACACTTTCTTCATTTGATTTATTACAACAAAAATCAAATGAAATCTCTAGGTATTCCTTAGATCAGAAATATGCAATTTGTTATAAAAAGTCTACTTATCACACTTTTGCACTGCACTCTGTTGATGTAAGTGTAAAATCAACTCAACCATGTTATTACTTGTTGTACATAGCCCACAATCTCACAGTGATCACACTAGTAGGTGGCTGAATTTTAGTGCTGGAGAGTGACAAAACTGTTTATTAAAAACTAAATTTAATGTTCCCTTGGATATGAGTGATATAAAAACACAGCCACTCAACAGTTCTTAACAGTCCCTGATAGAGGGTCATATTTCTCCTGCTCTGCTGCTTTCAGAATACAGGAGACTTTACTAATGAAGCATCAACCTATGTGCTACTGCAAAAGAAAGAAAAAATAATGAGACAGACATTCTGGTTCCTTCTGAAAAATTTAAGATAAGATATTTTCTTTTTTTAGGTGACTGAAGCAATGCATTTTGATTAGACACTAACTGCTATGACGGACCAATGGCAGTGACAAACTACAGAAGAACAGAAAGCTGACTAGGGATGACATCTTGATGTCTGCCTTCTGCAGCTATGTTTACATCGGCTCTTGGCACTCAGAAGTCCACCTCCCATCTACCTTTCTCTCAACTTGTCTGCTTACTTATTCTAACATAGGTCATAGCGTTGTTGCTTTCTATCTATACATTTTGTCTTGGCTGAGGAAAGAAATTTATTCTGTTTTTTTTTTTCTTTTCTTTTTCCACATAGCTATATTGATTGATCTGTAAGAGTAGAAGGACGTGTTCACACTGACTTAATTCTTACGCGTTTTAGAGGGTTTGACTGCCAGGTTCAGAGTAGTCAGTTTGGTAACTACATTTTAATGCCATCTTCTCCTTTTGTTTTAGCAAGGCTTTCAACATGGTCTCCTGCAGCACCATGGTATCCAAGTTGTGACATTTTGTCTGGATGGGTGGACTACTGGATGGGTGAAAAACTCGATGGATCGTACCACGCAAATGATAGGGGTTAATGGTCTACACTCTACCTGCAGACTGCTCACAAATGTAGCTCCTCAGGGGGCTACCCTGAGACATATCCTATTTCATACCTGTATCAATCACCTGGAGGAGGAGACAGAACGTGCCCTCATCAGGTCTGCAGACAACACCAAACTGGGGGATGCAAGTGACTAGCTCAAAGGCAGGGCTATTCAGAGGGACCCAGGCAGGCCACAGGAATAGGCTGACAGGAGCCTCATGAAATTCAACAAGGACAAATGCAAAGTCTTGCACTGGAACAGAAGAACCCCCACAACAGCACTGGCTGGGAACTGACTGATTGGGAAGTAGCTCTGCTGAAAAGGACCTGGGCGTCCTGGTGGGCAGTGAGCTAAGTGCGAGTCTGCAGGGCACGCTGGCAGCAAGGAATGCTAACAGCACCCTGGGAGGCATCAATAGCAGCGTAGCCGGTAGGTCCAAGGAACCCTTTACTCGACACTCAATACACCACATCAGGAAACCTCTGCCAGGCTGGGCCCCCACTACATGAAAGATGCTGATAAACAGAAGTAAGTCCTGCAGAAGGCTGCCAAGGTGGTCAGGGGCTGAAGCACACGGCCCGTGAGGCGAGGCTGAGGGAACTGGGCTTGTTCAGCTTGGAGAAGAGAGGGTGTCAGGGGGACCTACCTAATTCCTGTTGAGAAGACGGAGCCAGGATTTTACTGAGGAGCATGGTGGGAGGACAAGAGACAATGGCCATAAATTGAAACTGATGGGTTCCAACTGGATATAAGGCAAAAAATTGCACTCTGAGGGTAATGAAGCACTGGAGCAGTTTCCCAGAGAGGCTGTAGGATCTCCAGCCTTGGGGGTTTTCCAGACCTGACTTGGCAAAGCCATCAGTAGCCTGGTCTGAATTCAGTGTTGACCCTGCTTTGAGCAGGAGGTTGGACTAGACAACCTCCTGAAGTCCCTTCCAACCTGACTGATTCTGTGATAAGGACTATGCTAGCTAGCTGTTCTCTGTTTTATCAGTTTAAAAATAAAGAAAACTACTTACCAACCAAAACTACAAGCCTGTACTTTTCATTAGGTTGTCGTCTATATTTTGCAACTTCTTCATATGTTGGGATATCTGCTGTATCATACTGATCACTCTTCTTGCACTCATACATAGATTTGTTTGTTTTTTTATCTTTTCTGCTAAGACGAAAGCTTCTTCTAAAACCAGCTGCAATAAGAATAGGATTTTTTCGAAGTAAGAAATAAGTCTCCTCAAAATATCTGAAAATAATCTCTTCCAAACATTTGAGGATTGGTGCATGAAAAAAAAAAAGTATTGTATTTTCATAAGTGAACTACATATTTAATAGTTATATATAAGTATTATAGAATTATATAGAAGTATTAGACATTCAATAAACTAATAATAATGCATTATCTCTTATAATATAGCCAGGCCATTACAACAATATTATCCCACAATTTTAAACTTTATCAGATGCCTAGTTAAAGTGCAAATACTAGACTACTAATAAAATCATAATTGCAACAACAGACAGTATGTAAACATGTAAAATATTATTACAATAATTTGTTAATGTATTTAGACAATTTGAGTATCTTACTTAATACATACATACAAATATGTATGTGTGTATGTATACACACACATACACACACAGATATATACACACACATACAAAGAAAACATTCGTGTAATCTGGACTGCGATGCCATACTTAATATATTTCTAGTAAATCATCATGGCACTCAGATATTAAATACAACTTACGGTGGAAGTACACCCCATGGTTGAAAGAGTGAATAAAAATTAATTCCTTGAATATTTTTTTGTGCTTGGCTCCATGCTGACAGCATAAAAAACTGCATACAACCTTTCCCGAAGACATTAAAAATAAAAACCAGATACTGCTAGTCAAATTCCAAAACACCATGAAACACCTTAGACAACATGGTACCCATATAATGGATATGATAGCATGAAACTAAAAATGAATATTCTTATTAGACTGGCATTTACAATTGCATCAATAGTATTACATGACCAGTGCCCATCTGCAAGAGTGAAAACGTCACACAGCTTTTAAATGTTTTCAAAAGAGATAATCATAGGCAGTTTCAAGCAGAACAGTACAATAACACTTTCTACGCTATATGTTAAAAACAAATTTACTCAATCAATAACGATTACCTTATATTTTTTCAAATAAATACTTTACATGCATTTTACTGGTATCCCTATGACATACCTTTTTTTCTAGAAGGCACTAGGTGACCAGACCACAAAGCTGCTTTCATTATTTTGGAGTAATAAAGTAAAATACAAACTACGCTTTAATATTACTGAACAAACTCAACACCTTTTTTCCCCCCAGGATATTTTACAGGACAGTAAATATATGTAAACTTTTGATGACCCTAGAATTTTCAGCAATATGTTTTAATAAACTTGTAAAAGCACTTATTTTTAGGTGTTTGAAAAGTAATCATATTACAATTTTTTGTTCAAAGGTAATATCTGGCAAATTCAAGACTCAGCTCTGCAAATACTTAGAACCAGACTTGGAGCGAGATCTGCGAGTCTTAGATATCAAAGCGTAGCATTTCGCACACACGTAGTTCCATTTAGCACGAAATCTTTGCAGAACCTGGATCACGAAGCACGTTAAACAAGTTATGTCACTGATATGAGTCCCTATACTTGCGGGTGTTTATGACATATCCATACACACAAACGAGGAAAGACAATTTCTCTGAGAATACAGTGATATTGACCCATTAGTATTAAAGATATGAGTAAGTAAACTGAAAATTAATGAAAAAAGGAAAAGAGTTAACATTCCCAGAAAAGGACGATGACATCTGAAATTAGAGTGTTGCCTAGGCTAGGAAGGAGGTAGGCTGAAATAGCAGAAGATGACCCAAAATATACGGTATGTAAACATAGTGAAATAAAGACTGAAATAAAGTAATTTGTTATTTAAAAAGAACACTAACACTGTAGTGACTCCAAGCCTTGTTGGAGCCCTGAAAACTGCAAACATAGACCCCCAGCACAGGGCCTGGGTGATCTTGTCAATACCAGTGCGAAGGGCAGCCAGAACACAGATAGTTTCTTGCCCCATAGCCACACCTAACAACGTACACCTAACTATAGGAAGAATGGTTAAAAAATAATATTAGCAATACAGACACATGAAACGGATTAGAAATTTCCTGAGGCTTAATCTAAAAGGCTCCAGATTAGAAAAAAAAAGATCCTTACAACCAGCTGAAAATTGTTCTGTTTCATTATTTTATGAAAAAAGAAGAAAAAAGAATTCTTCACCATTTACTAAATGTTTGACAGAACAGCGAGCTTTGTCCCAAAACTCAGAATCCACATGTGTGAAGAAGGTTCAGTTCTGTGTTAAAAGGCAATCATTCCCGAACTCTCTTTTACTACAGAAGGGTAGAAGTCAAATGAAGCCAAACCAATCTTCTCTGCTCCAGTTTGACTTTGACCTTACAAATACCAAAAGTTCCCTGTCTCATAGTGCCTTTACCAACAGGTTCCTTAATCTCAACTTAAATGTCGAAGTGCGGAATCTTAAGGAGAAGTATCCTTCAGGCAAAATCTTAATCACCAATTCAATCTCTGATGTTAGATTTTAATAAGACTTTTCGTCATTTTTTCCTCTTTTCTCCATTCACTTTATTTGTTCAGGTTTCACTTATCAAACTGTCAGATGGTGGGTTATTTAATAAATTTAATTCCTTATTCTCTTAAAAGAGAGAAAATCTGATTTCTTTTTGTATAAACGAGAGAAGAAGAAGAAAATCCTTCATTGCCGTCTTTAGGCTAATTCCTCTCTGATCACTTTTACAGACTACATATAAAGCATCACAAAAACTCTGGTCATACGTTTCCACTACTAACACGTTTCCTGGATTAAAATATTTAATATTTCTGTGAATCCAACTCACTTGTAATGTGAAAATACCAGTGTTTCCTTGTTTCTTAAGAAAGTTCAACAGCAAGTTCATCTAGATTTTTGATGTTACACAAAAGCCATTATACTAAATAAAAAATAAACATGGGAGTCAAAGATAACTAAGCACATTTCCAGCACGACTGATTTATCTGCAGTGTTCTAGTGAAGCTCTGTAAAATTATAGAATATTACAAACCTACCATAGGTTAAGCGCTTTGCCACTTAAACATGATTGTCAATTTTAAAATTTTTTTTCCTGCAAAGCACATCTGAATAGCTCTGTACAGAATCCTAAAAAAGCTTGCTTAAAGCAGTTTTCAAAAGCAAGGAAAACATACAGTAATGAGAGAAAGGATGAGACTGTTTCAAATATATACAACATTTTTATAATACTGCTACTGCATTCCTGGAAACACGATTCTCCCTCTCTCACATCTGCAATTATATAGCCTCACACATGTGGCTGAGCTTTACATTGACCTTCAGAAGCTATTCTATAAAGAACCATTAATAAATATTTTCTATTGAATTCTGATTGCATTTTATAAGCAATATATTCATCAAGACACTTTAAGATATATGACCAAGAATAAATAGCACATAAAGAGGTCTTATTCAGTGCAGAGCAGGGGTACTCTTACAAGTTGATTAAGATTTATTTACTGTTATATTTTAGGGCTACAACAAATATTGTACTCTTCAGACGATCTATCTGACCACAAAGTAAGAATACATGTGCTTAATACAAAAAGAAAATGAACAAGTTCCTAAATAGTAAATTTTTCACAACCCCTTCCAAGAATTCTTTCCTGGTATGGCACTAAAGATTTCCACTCTGCTTAAGGCAGGTCTGCCAAAGTAAAACTGAAATGCCACCTAAGCAGTATTTCTTAATTGCAAAAAGCATGCTTTTGCTGGTTTTGTTCACCTATTTAACAAAATATATAGCATCTGAGACTAACTTTGGGTTATCACAAAAGTCTGCAGATATTTCTCTCCAGATACAGCTCTCTATAGCAGAATGTCAGCTATAACATATATTGGGTAGCTATGACTGTGCAAAAAGATTAAGCTGTACTGAAAAAGCATGATACTTGCAAGGCATGGATACATTTATGAACAAGCAGCAAAATATCCCTCTTATGTTTGCATATTTTACAGTTTAGGAGAAATGAAAAACTGAAACCTCACATATTTAAATTAACAAAAGAGCATTGTTAAAGATACGGTGAAAATCTCTATGGAAAACCAAAGCATTGTTTCTATAAAACGATCAAGCTTAAAAATAGACTTCTGAAAAAGAACAGAGCAGAAAAGCCGTGCTTGGCCAGAATATTCGATAATAAGAAAGTGAATAAATATGAAAGGAACTGCAAGCTACACTGTCTGTGGAATATGGATATCAGCAAAGATTAACCTTAGCAGCCAAGTATGCAGACTGTAAAATAAAGAGGGAAAATTCTGTCACCAAAGCAACATAAAATTCTGAACATTAAGAACTTTGCACCAGCTCACTGATTTCAACTATATATGACTAGAAGCCTCCTGAACATGGTAACCTATAAAATACTCCTGGAATGTAACAGGTTTGGTGAAATAAAGAACAGCCGCCGGGAAGAAAATACGCAGAACAAACGTTCTTAAACCACAAACGTCTCCAAACCCTATAATACTTACGTCTCCAAACCCTATAATACTTCTCGACATGAAACAAAAATCATAAAGTATGACTAATAAACTTCATTAAGACCCAACAACAGTAGAAAAGAAACAACTTATATCTCTAAGAATAAAAAAAAAAAATGAAAAAACCTAGATGAAAAGTCTGATTATTCTTTTACTAACGAGCAATATACATTTGGTCATCTCTGAACAACATCCTTACATTTATACAGAGAAACCAACACGGACCTCACACAGAAATCCAAACTGAAAACTGGCAATGAATGAATGTATCCTGTCTCCCCTAAGATATTTTTAAAAGGTGCCAATGTAAAAATCTGTATTTATTTAGATTTAGTAATACAATTCTAAAGAATAAATGAACCAAGCCTTGCAACTTTGTTGTGTCAATTTAAATCTAAATACGTTTGTGAAAGTAAAAAGCTCATTTCTCAAATTCAGAGAAACTATGCTAATAGGGAATACCACATTTTAAATTCACCTATGCTTCTTCAACTCACCAGAAATAGAGTAAGGCTCTAGAACGTGACAAAGTACTAACATGTGCTTTTGTTGATTTTCATTCACTACAATTGCGTAAGTATTCATTTAATTTAAATGTATCCTTCACAGATTTGGGATAATCTAACATAACTTCTATATACAGTGCATAAATTCAGTTTATTTTTAAGTGCATTTATGAATACTTTTTTGTATTCACACTACTGACAAAAATAAGTTTGGTACGACGGCCATTATTGCCGTTTAAAAAAATACAGCATTTGCACTAGATATTTCTGGATATTTTTTCCCTAAAATACTGGGATGTTTTTTTCCTGCCCTTCCTGTATGGGAGGGCTCACATAGTGAGTATTCCTATTGTTACACAGGAACTGCACAAACACAGAGCGGACTTCTTACCCTGCTTGCTTCTGGACTGATTCCCAGCTTGCACACTTAGACAGGGTTAATAAAAATTCAGATTATGTCTGGATTTTTAAGACAAATTAGAGAATAGTAAACAGATGATATTCATCTATATTTACTGTACGTTCATAAAGGTTCAAGTAACGTAACTAGAATTTAAGTTTGGCAAAGACAAACTCCTAATGTTCTCCACAGCAATTCCTCAGGAAATTACTGCAGAAACATACATTATTATACTGTAACTTACATATTAGAATTTGGTGAAAAATCATGAAATATGTCTGAGTCACTTTAGAGGAGAGGGCTAAAAATTAATAATAGTGTAACTGTGAGCATAAAAGATCTGACTCCAAATGGTACAGACATTCTGCTTTCCGAAAACTACCTCTTCCATTGCTCTTTGTGACCATCTCATGCACGTCTAAAGTATACATCCTTTCAGAGAAGGCCAGATGATTCACAGAATATCCTGATTCATACATTGAAATAAAAAGCCCTAAAGCTAAAATGAGCCATAAAAATCTAGTGAAAACTCAAAAATTAAAAACAGAATTGTTGTAGTTCACTTGATATGTTCACACATCTATACTTTGAAGACTGTTTCTGGAATTCAGAGGCACAAACACTACTTCAGCTTACCCAATACTAACTGTCCCTATTTGTGACTATAACCTGCTGTAAATGCAAGGTAATACAACTCAAATCATTCATCAAAGGTTAAGCTAACTCAGACTACCTTGTTCTTGTAACAGGTTACATGTGCCCAGGCAGTTACTCAGGTGTTGCTACAACTTGTTGGTGTGATCTAAGTCCTTCCAGTGACAACATTTTAGGTTTCATTTTCAGCTTAGTACGCTTAATCTAGACTTTATGTTATAATAAGGAGAGTCTTGTCGAGAAATTCTTATTTAGTAAAATAAGCAAGGAGTGCCATAAATATCTATGACCTTGCAAGGTCATAGACGCTCAGAAAAAATGTGATGCTAAGAATTCACTCAAAACAGTACTGAAAAAACACTGGCGGCCATTCAGAATACGCTGTTTTCAAAATCAGACATTTGTTTTCCCACTCCCAAAATAGCCATTGGCCTCCCTACCAGTGAATTTTAACTTACGTTTTTTCTTTACAAACATAAAACTTTTACAGGTGAAGATATCCAACAGTAACTTAACAGAACCCAGAATTCCTAACTTTCCCCATATGACAAATAGACCAAATAATTCTAATTTTTGTCACTCAAATTTAGGGCAAAAATTCTCCTCCTCAGACTATATGAAGTTGTATCTCTCTCTCTTTTTAATCTGAATTATAAACTGTTTGAAACATAATACAGAGGGAAACTGATGGGAATAAGTGTTATTCTTATAGTATGCAGATAAAATAATTGATGAACTAGAACAGATCAAAAAAAGGTAATACAGCAGAAAAATTGTTATATAGTATTGCATATGAAAGTCTGTTAGATGAAGAGCACTAAAGGAAGTTTTGAAATTTCAGAATGCTCTGTATATTATATGTGAATAGATGTAACCTTCTTTAGTTTATATGACGCAGCATGCTTAAGCAGTATTAGCTGCCAGTTTTAAAATGTTCAGTGTGCCAATACAACCTGAAGAAACAAATCTGAGGATGAAAATGTTGTCCTATATTCTTATTCTCTTTGCATGTTTTCTTTTTCATGTAAGATGATGAATCTTTCAGGTTATAGTTAATCTGATCTATCTGATGAAAACTATGATAGTACAAATTCAGGAGACTAATATAAACTCCCTCACTGAAACCTGATATAAACAGTATTCAATGGGTGCAGTCACTGGGTTTGTTATCTCTCATCCAGCATCCAGGTATGTCACAGCTTGCCTTTGAGTTAAGAACACACACACAAACTTTTAGCCACAAAGCAGTGCTGATCTGAGAGAGGTTATGAAAGGTGTCCAGTCTAGTTCCTAAGCTGCTGAAAGTCAGGTAGGATTGGAGAGAAAGGAGACAGGATGGGAAACAAGGACAAATTAAGTGGTAGAGGAGGAGGAATGGGAAAAGAAAAATCTTGAGGAAAGAACTCAAGAAATACAGACAAAATGCAAAAAGCCAGAAAGAAAAAAACAAAAATAACAATAAATAAACATCTTATAATCAGCAGAGTGTTTACTCTATATAAAAATGAGACCCTAACATCTTCAAAAGATGGAGCAAGGGGCAGAAAGAAGTTCTCTGAAGGCCTCGAGTACCTGTGGGACTGAAAGAATATATGCTCAGGCCAGTGGAAAATAAGCAAATGAAGAGGGCCCTACTAAGCAAGAAGGTGGATTGCAGGAGTTAGGTATGTTATGGGCTCCCATGTATCTAACTGGGGTTTTACAAAATGTCTTTGCCTTAGACCCCATTATACTGTAGGTTAGTGTACTATCAGATTTCTAAATTTCACACACGACACAGGTAAGAATTTTCTGTCCTCCCTGCAGCAGGTCAGCAGGTTTTGTTCAAATTATTGCAATTTAACCAGCGGTAAACGCCCCGCACAGAAAGTTATTCCACAGTGAAACTGTGTCCCCCGAGAAAATACAATTGAAAGAGAATTTAGGGTAGGAGCAACCCTAAGTGTAGGTGAATAGGACTGGGCTCCTAATGTTTTGTGAAACAAGGAGATACAGAAGAGCATGAGGCATTCTGAGTTACAAATCACAGTGCCCTGTTACTATGTGCAAAAGAATGATAACATCAGCTTTCACAAACCTACCTGCTTGATCTTACAAAAGGCTAATGTTTAAATGACTTATTTTTGGTGAACCTCTAATTTATGAAGTAAATATTTAATTATTCGCAAACAATGAACATACTTTCCCCTTATGCCAAAATTGGCCTTAACCTCAGACATAGTCCCTTCTCTCCCTGTCACATCTTCCAACTCTCCTCCTCCTCCTCTCTCTGCCAACTCACTGACAACAGCATAGACCTCTCCTTGACTTAGTCTTTGCCTCCAGGGAACACGAAAAGACGAGGACCTCCTGCAGAGGACTGGTGGCAGCACTCCACCGGGAAGAAGCTCTCAAGAGAGAAAACATTACTTGCGCTTTACGGGCACTGCTTGTAGTTCTCAGATAATTTTTGTAAAGTTCTTGTCCAAGTACACTAAACCTCACGTTGATCTTTTGTCTCTGCATCTGGGACAGCAGTAGCTTCTTCCCCAAGACATCTCCTCCCTAGATGACTCAGCCTTGTTAATAATGGCAGACAGCAACGTTTCAGTGAAAAGACAATAGTGCTAAGAGCACGTGGGCTCTATCTCGCTACTTTCATTCTCAAATAAAGCACCTGCCCGCTAGGATCCAACTGCAAGTTTCAGTGAACCCAGCGGTTTGGCTGTGGTAAAGCACTTTGACATGTCTCTTCCCATTCCTCCCACAGTGGGAGGACGAAGGCCTTGGGAAAAGGGCTGGTTGCTGCAAGATCCACTCCAGCTCGTCTTCCGCTGGCAGAACTTCTGGCCAGTTTCAACGAAAACATTTTAAAATAGCTTTTAAAATGGCACACATTCAAAGCTGAAACATATCATGGAACAATCATCTTTTTTAAATGTTATGTTTGTTTAAAATTTGGAATCCTTAAACTGAAGCCAAAAGACTCGTTCCCCTCCTCTATTCTGCCTTCCCCCATTGATACATTGGGCTCAGACCACCTTTAAAGTTAAATTTAAGCTATTGTGCCATTATGACTCATTTTATTTTGTAATGTGGAAAAAGAAGCAATGCATACACATTTGCTTGGTACTCTCACTATATCCTGCCCAAAATGATTAGCTAGACACATAGAAAAGGTAGGCAAAAAGTGGATAAAAATTTGAAAGTGTCTCTTTACAGTCTCACTCAAATTGTTCATGAAATAGTAACCTTTTTGTTTGATTAAACACATTGCTTACTTAATATACTAAAAGTCACTAATTTTCCCAAATTTACAAGTATTTTTTAAATTTTGATTTAAAAAGCAAAGCAGTATTTTAGTAGCTTGTGATTAGCCAGATAAAGGCATACTGCACTATGCAAATCCTTTATGTCAAATCCAATGAGCCATTTTTTAAATTTTAGTATTCATGCCTTTAACATGCACAGTAAGGACATTTGTATGCAAATTACCCCCAAAAGCAAAGTGACACAGTAGTTCCAGGGAACAGAAGCTGAAAGAAGGGAAGAAATTGTCTTTCTTAACCAATTGCTCACCTAGATTGGATCCACTGTTGTGACCAGCACATTCAGCATCTTCTGGACGAAGGGTAAAAGCATACAGAATAAGAGCCAAGAAATAAAGCAGAACAGTTAGAAGCCCCGCAACAAATACAGAAGAAATTACTTAAAAAATGACAACTGTTCAAAGCATAGCGTTAAAAAGCCTTCAATAAGCCATGTTCTTAAAAACATAAAACAATATTTATTGTTTTATATTTTAGCTGAAGCTATTGTGGAATTTTGCAGCATGCACACTGATCTTTTTACCTTTTCAAACAATACTTTTTGATTAGAGCAAACAAATAGTCTAAAAAGAATTCTAACACTGTATTATTCATACTTTATCAGTTAATAGAAAAAATGATGCCACTTAAAAGAAAGCAAAATGTATTTGACATAAATCAAGCTTTTTTTGTAAATTATACATTATCAGATTTTGCTTTAAATTTTGGCTCACTGGATTAGACAGAAAGGTTTTTGATCAAAAACACATCCTTTCGTTCGATATAAAATAGCTATAATGTATATTTTTACATGCCAGAGGCCCTTAGATCAAAAATACGAGCTACAACTTCTAATGCCTTTATAAACAAAGGCCTCTTAAGTTAAAAAAAAAAAAAAATACAGGAGATCAGCTGCTATTGCTTTAACATATGCTGCAAGCATAACAGTAACCGGCTAGACTCGGAAGGAAAACAGTAAAGATGATACTACATGGATGAACTTTCTACTGTCTCAGAGAAATACTTCGTCAGTATTAATTAGAAATGCAAGACCTCTCAAGGCCATGTAATTCAGACTCATCTCTTCCCAACCCAGCCCACCCAAGTTTTCCAAATATTATGATACTCCTTTTCTTTTCTACACATATCTTTACCTCCAACAGTTCGAGAGAAAGAGAAAACAGCTTATAGCAATAGTCCAAAGTACTGATCTGTACGTGAAATAAGCAGGAATATTTCAATATTTTTAGCTACTTTAAAAAAAATGATCCAACGTATTTGGTGGCAATATGGAAGCATTATATGTATAACATCTCTTATAAATGTTGGATTATATTCAATTTGATTCTAAACACTTGTTTTCAAAAAATAATTATTGGGCTATGCAGGGAAACTTTTGTACATGTACCTTCAATTTCCTCTGAGAAGCACAAAGGAAAAATAGGAAAGGAAATCATTAAATGAATTGCAAACATAATTTAAGAAAGAAAAGTTAAATCTAAGAAGAAAAAATGCACCTACCACACTCAACCGCTTCCTCATCTTAGAACAGCCAAAAAAGCAAAATATTATTGTTTAATACTTCATAAATAGGAAAAAAATGTAGCTACGTAAGCTACTCTAAAATCCTCCAGATAGCACCTAGTATATTGAGACATATACCAACGTACCTGCACTGAATTTAACTTAAATGTTTAACTACACTCAAAAGTAGAAGAGGACATAAAAAGACGTTGAAATGTTATGGATATCTTAAATTTCCTGTCTGAGAATCTTCCACTATTTATTTGGTAGCAAGGACCTTAACCTGTTGTGATAAATCATCTTTTTGAAATTAAACACACAGTTTGCCAATTCTGTTAATTAAAATCAGGTGTAATCTAGGATTTTTATGAATCACTGTCATGAATGTCATGAATGTGGTCTCTGTAATTTTCTACACCTGCAGAACTAGCTTCTACTGCCTTTATGGCTAGGCTTTTGGGGGCTGTGATCTTTCCAATGTTTATAATCATAACTGAAAAATGCTGAAAGAAGTTAAATAAGCCATCATGTTTTCTCTGACATTATCCTAATATAATAGACCTAGCTAAGATATTCGGCTTACCTGTAGTAAGCCAGTAAGCTTTTGCCTCCTTCATAGGGGAAAATATACATTTTCATACTCATCTTTGGGCTAGTACAGAAAAGCAACATAAATGCTATGAATTTGTGTTCAAAAGATATGATACACTAATGTCTAGATTCATATAGAGATTTTACAATCTACATCTCATTCAAATTTCCTTTGGAATCTGGACATAAATATATGAAATTATATACAGATTTCAAAGAGTTTCTACAAAGCATATCTTCCCATAAAATGTGATGAATTTATTTAGGAGAGATTTTAAACTCTTTTAATGGTAACTGATGTATCAAACAAAGGCTGGGTCAAAACTCTCCTGCCTCTTTGGGTAATGAAAAGAGCTTTTCCCATTTCATCCTATGAAACAGATACAAAAGTACTTTCTGCTGGGAAGAATGCTGTTTGGCAGAATCACTGCTGGATACTTCTTTTCTTGAGGATACTTTTGAAAAAGACTAATTTGAAAGATTTCTCTAAAATATATTTGAAGTTATTCCTACACTTGAGGCAGCTGCATGGTTTTAGCATGCTAGAAAGTCCTTTAAAGTGAGCATTGTTTGGTTGACCACATCTGATGCCTTAAAAGAGTGCAGACAATTTTGTGAGATGAAAGTAAAGGACACTGCATCCTTTTTCCTCTCCTGGCTATAAAAATTCCCAGTTCTTGAAGTGACAGATGCTCTGAAGCTGGTCATAGATCAGCTTCCTCAGGGTACTACTATTTCTTTCTCCCTCTCTGTGCTGAGAGATTGCTTACACTTCTGACATGTATGACAAGTTCTGTGAGCTTTTTCTATATTTCTAGTTGACTTTCAATGGGCCGCAAATACGTCTCCGGAAAAAAAGTCACTAATGTTCAAAACCAGCTCATATCAATACCTCTAGATCGTTTCCTGAATTCAGCAAAATTATTTCATTGACCTAGTGGTTGTGCATCTTTAAGTGTTCTATGTGGTATTTTAGCAATGAAAATGAACAACTCCGACTATGAACGTGAAAGACTGGACCAGGAGAAAGAGAGGCCTCTGTGTACACAGAGGTACACACTGACACAACGCTGACCAGTTCAGACACTCAGAGGTGGCCTAGGAGCATGGCAGATGGTAGAGCTGCAGTCACAGAGCTGAGAATAGCTGAAAGCAACCCAGGCATTTAGCCTGCCCTTCCTAGGAAAGGGAATGGTCTTCACCTTACATGCTATAAATTGCAGATGTTTGGATTTCCAAGCGAGGCAGCAGATGCCAGAGAGCAGAAGGCAAAATGTGTATAAGCTGAGGTTTCATGCTATGATAAAGTGAAAGAGTTTTGAGCTTTTTGCGTTTTGCGAAGCCTTATTTAACTTCTCTTGTGAATTTTGCTCTCCGCTTTCTTGGGCTACTGCTAAGTTTGAACGTAACAGGCTGTAATGAAAAGATCTAGTAAACAGTGCCTCACAGCCTAACGCAGCTATGAGACAGTCATCAACATGTGGCTCCCAATTTGAATTATACTAGGGCAATTGTCTGTCCCTATTAAAGCCAGAGGTTTTCTTGCCAGGAAATTTCATTTTAGGATTTATGACTAACTAACACAGCCCTGTGGGTTTGCAGCAGTTGTATGCATGCAGCAGGTACTTGTAGATATATGCCTAATGTTCCAAATTTTGGAGACATGAAAAATCAGGGTATATCTTCTCAGGCCAGTAAAATTTTACTAAATTGAAGCAGGGGAAAGAAAGGAAACAGAGATGTTCAGAAGGAAGGAACAACTAAGAGACTAAATGAGGATAGAGAATAAAGAGGAGGAAATCTGCTGGAAAGGAAGATAATAAAAGTAGTGACAAACTGTAAAAAAAAGCACCAGCAACATAGAGCAAATAAAATACTGAGAAAAAGAGAAAAACTATCAATTAAACGTAGTGTGATAAGAAGGGAGAGGAAGTTACATAGAAAGAAACAGCCATGGGACAGGTTCCTGAAAAAACAGTGAAGTTTTATCAAGATATAAACGGGAAAAAAGAAATAGGAAACATGAGTGCAATGGAAACTTAGGAAGTATGTGTGTTTATTCATTTTAGAAAGATACCGATGTAGCAGTATGCTATACTAAAACAATGCAAAACGCTATTACATACACTGTATTTTTAATGCATTTTAACTGAAATATATTTAGATTTGATTTTGTGGGCCTCGACTAAATTGTATTACTTACAAAGCTCAAAAACAGAGCCACTCCAGGAACTGTCTGAACTCTTTAGAACAACCCAGCACCAGATTAAAATTTTTAACTCTTGCTGACTTTCTTTCAACAATGCTTCCATCAAAGAACTTTTGTTTAATGTTTCTCAATCTAAAATTAGATCCAGCAGTTCTGTTCCAGCTTCTGAACATAAGCATGTTACATTATCCCTTAAATTCTATTTCATTCTAGTAAGTAAGAAATTGGGATGTACAAGGATCAAAATTACAATGAGTACATTAAACAAACGAAACACTCCTGATTTGTTAGTGATGAACAATGCCACATAGCAATCAACGTTCATACTATTTTGCAGTTTTTATCCTACAGGATTTTTTAGATCAAAGGATACATATGTGTTCATGTAATAGAAATTTTAAGGTGATCTAAATTAGTCCTCTCATAATATCATCAGACATCAGTCTCTCTACTAAGACAATTTGGAAAATGAAGAAGGAAGGTCCTGTGGTGAAGGACAGACCAAGAGTTTGTAGGATCCATTTCCGCTTCTCTCTCATGTGAATCAAATGTCATCCAGCTTCAGGTTTCCTTCATTTCTCTGTGGTAGCAGGAAGTTAGTATTTTTAAAGCACAGAAACTTTTGGGCAAAGCCGCTAATTTGCTAATTTAACCCTAAAGCTCTGGTTTATTTTTTGCTTTTACCCTTAACTCCCTGCAGGTGGGCAATCAGGAATCAAACATGAACACAGATAAGTACTGAGAAGGAAGGCAGAGTTACACACGTGCAGTAATTATAACAAGCAGAAGAGTCCTATAATAACACATTTATGCAAATGTTTCATCTTCAGAAACAACTGGTAAAAAACATTCTTTCTCTTATTCTGTTTAAATTCTTCCGTTGGCAAAATATGATCTTCAATTCACAAGATACTCATCTTTGGATAAACTGGGTTACATCTTGTTTGAATGAACACCATTTGGACGCAGTTAAATACTTCTTCTTGCTCATACAATGCCAATCACATATGGTAAATCAAAGTGGAAAGTAAAAGAGGTTTTAATCCCTAGAAAAACTATCTAAGGATGACTTTGCCACAATAAGTACATACATTCAGTATTAAATATACTGAACAAATCTATTTTCAAGGAAAAGACATACCTGAACAGCTCTGTCTTATATGCTACGTATCTATATTTATTTATAAATAAATATACACACAGAGTACGGATACACATATACGTGCACTGTGTAAGTTAAGAGAAGTTACAGGCTACATAGCTAGTGTAAAATATAATTTTACCAGTAGTTTTCATACCAGAGACAACAGATATGTACTATGAGAGTAAACACAATAATTGCTATGAAAGCAAAACTATGCTGAAGGGATGTATCTTGGCCAATATATTTATAGCTCATATTAACTGCAGAACAGTAACTAAATTATTCGTTTGTTATTCAAATAAATTTACTTTTTCTTTTCAAAACAATAGGTTATTGATGCTTCATCGACAAATGAAAGTAAGCTATGAATGCAAGAACCACTGCGTTTGCTGGCAGAGACTCTTAGAGTTAGTGCATGACTGTTCTTTGTACTCAAGTTCACAGACTCAGAACTGTTACACAAATGAATTCTTCCCTGAACTGAGGCTCATAGCGCTCCTAATTAGCTTGGGTGCAGTGACAGGAGAACTCACAGAGCTAGTTCTGGGTACAAAGTTGCGTCCACGCTAAGATGACCTCCTTAAGCCAGCAGTGCTGCTCGTTATTATTCAGGAATATCAGGTAAGCAGGTTTCTGCAGAGCTGGCTTTCCGTCACTGAAAACAATCTCAGACAAACGTAAGCTGACATCATGCAGTCAGACACCTCCGTTCTGGATGTCCCACCACGTCCCACAAGCTCCATTAATCCTCCCTGTCAGGTATATTGCAGGCTTCACTGTCCCAGTCTGTGGAGGGTTAACCTCGTTAACACAGTCTCATGAATCTCTCTATTCCTTTACTTTCATTCCATTTTTCTTTTCCACATTGTCTTCTCTCATCATTTTTTCCCAGTGTAATTTTCCCATAGTATTAACGTACAAGCAACAGTGCTTTTAGCTGTAAAGTCGCTGGTATTACGTATTGAGAAAAATGATGAAAATGCTTGAGAGGTTTGTTATCCTTCCATCCTTTCTAACTCTGAGCCTCTGAAATAACACTATCAGTCTTAGCACCAGGTCAGCACATCTAAACTGCTACTTGTCTCACGCATTTAAATCTTATTAAATCTTAATGGTGTTGAACTTATTGAGAAGGTTTTCCACCAATAATGAAAGAGTGAAACAGGTCAATGTTCATATCAGCAATTTTTGCATTCATCATTTTAAAAACTTTACCAAAACAAATGTCGTAGTTTTTTTTTTTTTTGAACAGAACCCTTTAAAAAAAAAAAGAACTACACTGCAAATACTGACTACTGTAATACTCTTGGGTAATACTGTTAATAGCACTAATTTAATCACTTCAAAGACTGTTCTCTCTGGGGTCCTGCCTAACCACGTTTAAAGACAGCTTTTGTTCATCAGTTCTTCCACTGCCTTTGTTGCAGTAATTTCTCCCTTTCTTTATCCCCAATACCAAAATTCACTTTCCTGCTTTTCTGCTCATTTCTTTTTTTCCTACTTTTTCCTGGACTTCCTCTCAACTTAAAATTATCTTTGTTCCATGTAGCCTCCAGCTATGTTATCAATTTCCTGCCACCTTACTCCCAAGCGTCCCTTACTCCCTTACTATCAAGCTATGTGCCCCCTCTCCCTTTTCTAATAAAAAAGTGTGATTTTGCTCACCTTTCAATATTGAATGTATATTATTTTGCTTCCTCTTCCGACTTTACACATTAAAGGTTTTTCACTTTGACTGGTGCAACGTGAGAATGTCTCTTTCAAGACAACGGCCACATTCTGAGAGAAATGTGTGTGTCTGGATATTAATCTCTTCTATAAAGTATTTACTTTTACTTATGTTCACTCTACACATAGAAACAGTGAAACTAAGTATTGTTATTTCCATTATAAACTGAGCCTTCAAATAATTTACAATTAGGTTGGGTGTATGTTCTCTTCAGTTCAAAACAGTTACTGGTGAAAAGTGCCACGGAAATTTTCCTCTTTTCCCTCTCCTCAAGATGTGTAATCATGGTCAGTGTCACCTCTTTTTGGGCTTCTGAGTTTATGGTAATATGTGTACACATTAACTACTTCACATGATATGCATTGCTATGCTGAAAAGTATAAAAAAATTCAAAATTGGAAATAGAAAGAAAGCTTTTCAAAAGTCATTCAGTGTCTTCTTGCAGGCTTTGAAATATATTTAATTATCTAAGAAAATCCTGATGGATGTTAATGTTGCTGTGAATACAGTTCTTGACTATGTTTCAGATAGCTCTTTTTCTAGTTATACACAGCTAAGCCCTTCCCAGTTCCAGATATTGGCACGAGACAAAAAGCAGCTGTAGGACACTTCTTGTACGTTATAGGATTTTGACTAATTTTTACATTAATTTGCAGTAAAAGGACACTACTACCCTAGAAGCCCACCTCAGAAATCCGAGCTGATCCACATTTTCTTGGTATTCAAGAAAAATAGAATATTTTATTTCTCCTCAGTTCTCCCTATCAAAACCAAAGAAATCTAACTAGGTTTTTTCCTCATTACAAAACATGGGATCTATGGAATGAGCTGACTGAACAGAGTAGACTGACATCCAGTGGCACTTACCATGTCTCAAGAAAGCTTCCTAGTGCAACTCCCAGCCCTCTCAGGAAAGGGGCTTTTATTAGATCTCTGTTGAAGTTCAACAGGTTTTCATCTTTTGGCAGCTGTAAGGAATATCAGCTGGCAAATTGCCCTTTCCATCCCAACTGCTAAGGAAATTCAGGTCACAGGACTGGATGGGATCAAATACAACAGCAAGCAACCTTTCAATACACAGCTTGTTCAGATCTACAGAACGCTGTTTCCCCCACAAAACTACCCCTCCAAACACTGAAGAACTCTACAGCAAGCTGAAGGCCTGTAGTACAGGACCAAAAAACAATCAGAGGAAATCAAGCATTAACAGTTTCCTACTTCTTTATATGGAAAATTGTTAAATAAAACTTTAGAGGACAATAATCAGTGAACCATGCCCCACAATACAGAAAATGGCAAAAACATCAGACCCAGCAGTTCTTTCCCATTTTCTCTTCTCCATGTCACCTTCCTTACATGTTTCTGACCCTGGAAATATGCTGTTATTCAGCTCTGCAATGCAGGATTTTCCAGCACCTCTCATTTTGGCAAGATGGCTGCTGTGCACAAATGCAGGCAAGAACCCCACATCTCAGTTTCAGTGCCATGCTTCATAACACAAAGAAGCTGCCCAGCTTTAAAAAGATCACAAGGTTGCAGAGCTTCTCCCACATCACCTGGAATCCTTTTGAGGAGACAAACAAGTAGAAGGTTTTCCTGAGAGCAACTTGAGCAACAATCTAGTCACGACATTCTTCTGTAGGTGAATTCTTGTCTGTAAAATATATCACCTGCGAGGGACCTGAAATCTCTCCCAACATCAAAAACATATTTAGTCTTTGAATAAAAGGGTGGACCTCCACTCAGAACAGCACTCTCTCTCTTCCCATGGAAATCTGGCTGCTTTAGCAGCAGATCGTCCTAACACACCAGGAAGACAGAAAATGGCAAATCTATTTTACTCTTCCCTCCTTCCTCTTTCAAGAGGCATCACTGCCTTCTACATGATACTAAGCTGGACCTTACTTTGTTTCAAGAAAGTCTAAAAGAGATTAATAACAGGTATACTGCTCCACCCCAAGGCCCTGTAATGTTTTAAAGAAAAGTAGAGGAAGAGAGTGCTTCTCACTTGTTTAATTTTGTTAAGACAAGGTAAATGGAGACAATAGAGACAAAAATAGTAGGCATCATACTGTGGGCCTTCTTTGGATTACAAATTTGACAATTCCCAATCAAGTACAGGCTGCTTACTTGGAAGGGTGAGATGCATCTTGTAAAAACTTTCAGTTAAAGGTAATCATGCAATGTGGCTGCAGCAGCTGATTTACCTCCTTAATAGCACCAGTGCCACCTTATTTGAAGGCTCTTGTTCAGGGATTATCCATACTCAAGAACAGTGGACAGAAATAGCTATACACTGGGATCAGAAACTTTTCCAAAACTGGGGCAGAGCAACTTCACCTAGAACCTAGAGAAACAACGTATTTACTGCAAGCTGAAGGACCTCCCCATTGTTTCTGTGAGCTACAAAAAAAATGGAAATGCTATAGTATAACCATGCAGTTTCCGGTTAATGTAATTAGAAGGCTAATCAAGGCTTCTGGAGTTAACAATATCATTAGGACATATAATCAAACAGTGAAATGGAATGAAAGTTACTAAAATATACTAGAATACTAGAAAACTAACAGTAATTGTCAAACTTTGGAACACAAAAGCCATGGCAAGGAGTTAAGGAAAATTGCAAAAGAAACCTCAGTGAAAAGTTTTAAAGTTAAATGCATTTACTTTTGTACTTAGTGTGCCATAATCCACTGTTTTCCATAGTATCCATACTTTTTGTTTTAATGATAGAGAAGGAAAGATGTTTTGAAATTTTAGACTAGTTTCTGAATATTTCTAGTTGAACTCACAAACATGCTTGTATTTAAGATTTAGATCCTACTGAAGCGTGATAGTTTCTTACATTGTACTCACTTTGTTATAAGTCTGTATAACTGAAAGAAATAACAGGTCAAGTAAAATATGCAATAATACTTAAAACAGATGTTGATGTAAATTCCAGGGGAAAGAAAATATTTGTTTCAATGTATGTGCTTGCTTAGAGCTTATTTTTCTTATGTTGTGCAACTACTGTATTTAAAAGTAGAGACTATTAAAAACGAATTTGTTTAGAAAACAGTAAGAAATGGTACCAAGATAGCCTATAAAAGAACTAAGCGTCCCGACTTTTTGAAAAATTCACACTGCTTCACAGGACATCAACCTTATGGGGGAGGGAAGGAAGAACATCAGACCTTTTATCTCTCTCGGTATAACTTTCCCTGTATTGATGCAGTCCAAATTATATAAACTTGAGAGCCAATTCTGTAATATTTCTGCAGGAAAAGAACACTCCTTGACTCCTGAAATATTATATATCAAAACATTAACTGGGCTCAGTGCTTCAAAAACAGTTAGAAGGTTGGGAATAATTGTTAGATGGTTCTTGAAGTTCTAAATTTTAATTTCAGATGTTATATTTATTTTTCCTACTGATACAATGTGATCAATGAGCTATTGTGCCCTGGAGAAATGCATCTTCTGTTCACAGGGCTGAAACAAATCGCTATTTTATAGGGTAAGAGATTAAGACTATGATTTCTATTCCAGGTTAACAGACTTACATGATTTTCTGTTGGAAATTTTCAGTGGCTGGATCTGCACTTCTGGTCTTCTTAGTGCAAATCTCCTATAAAATGGGAGGTGGTAGGGGAAAGACACAAAATCCTCAGTTTTTATTGCAAGTTTGGGATTAATAAACACTTAACATCATGAGACTATTGCAAAATATCCAAAAGATTTTGTAAGAAATTAACCTAAAACAATCTATTCGCATTCTAAAACATTAAATCCTGAGCCTCAAATTTTTGTAAGGTCTCCAAAACCTGCTGCAGCTCTTATTCCTGCATAGTACATCAGTGTGAATACAGATACTGATGTGCTATTTTCCATATGGTTTCTCCTTCAATCTGGATCAGTGTTATCCTATCAGTTTTTGTCATTATTAATTCTAGCCAGACAAATAAGGAAATCCAAAGTATTTCAGCAACGGGTTTCCAAGTTCAGTTGTCTTACTGCAAATGCAGGTTTATCATATCCTTGTAATCTATGAGCATACATATGACAACTGTGCTGACTGAACGACTCTACAAATAAGTGTCGTTTCTTACCACAAAAAATAATGAAACCACGCTTTTCGATAGCTTACCTCTCCTGGAAATGCTTTGAAGGGATCAAGCCTGCTCTGGGATTGGCATCGCCTTCGTGTTTGGCCTGCCACCAGGTTGCATCATCCTGGCTCATGATCTGAAGGATATCTCCTTTTCTGAAAGCAAGTCCAGCTTCTTTACAAGGAATTGCTTTATCCTCATTAGGATCATAGTCAAATAGGGCTCTTATAAACATCTGAAACAAACAGTGTTTTTGCTTTAGAATTCAAACATTAAATGTAATCCAAAGGTATCTTGCTTTTTGCTTTTACTATTCAAGAGCATTGAGCTAAATAATGTAATGCAATAAATAATTACTGCTGTAAAACATCCTTATGGAAGTCTAACATTAGAAAATAATAGAGCAATGATCAATTCTTTGCTCCTGCAACCAGAATCTGTACGTAGTAAAGGTTGTAAGATCCAGCTCCCAAAGGTAAACAGAACTTTGGATTTTGCAAGTAAACAGTGTGCCAATAAGGGGAACAGGAGAGAAGATATTTTTGAACGTAGGTGCTCTAAAGCGCCATCTGCCCAGTGTATGATGGGAGAAAAGGGGTATTTGGAAGGAAGGCAGGTCCTAACTGAGGACTGAAGATCACCTATTTCAAGCTGATGGCTGCAGAGTTAGAGCCTTAAGAACCACGTTAGGCCCACTTGTAAATCTAGCATGTGAGTATGCAAGGGTACAGCGCCCTAAACATTGTCACATCAGAAAATCTGAGGCCGAGGTATAAATGACAATCTTGGTTCTGTCATTAAAGTAAACAATATGTATCTCCAGCATAACACTTACTGCAACAGCTTCTGAAATACTATTAAGTAGTTACGTACCTTGCCTTCCTTCGCTGGTGTTTCTTCCTTCACACTAGGTATAATTTTAAATGTAATTGCTCCTTGAGACTGAGCCTGTTGAATATTTTAAAAGAAAATGCACTGAGAATTAAATTGTACATTTTAAACAATATAATAAATCTGAAGAGGAATGGAAATTCAAATTAATCTTAAAATATTCAAAATATAATGAATTTATCCTCTCCTAAGCATGACTCATGGAGTTTGACTGCTTCACAACACGGAACTGTGAAATGCAAAGAGCACATGTACCTGTCTGGTTGTCACTGTCACTGGCAGGTAGAGAAGTTATGTTAAAAACACGGGACCTGCATGTTTCAGAGGTTCCAGCTCTAAACTGAAGGTAAGAGCAAATGCGATAGCTAAAATGTATGCATATTAGAAGCAACTGCAGGATCCCTGGCAAAGTTTGGACATCCCTGGAAAAATCCAGTTAACATTTCATTTTTCAAAAAAAACTGATAGAAAAACTCAAATAAGCTTGTGCCATATTTATTATATAAAACTATTGGGGGGATTTATTCTTTTGGCAAGTTAAAGAAACTAGACAAGAAAAACATTTTTGAATAGGCTACGTGTACTAAATGGAAAAAAAGCCCTCCACTATAAATCTTAAAACAAGTTAGCCATCATCAACCACCTCATCCATTCATCTTTCCCTATATCCCACTTAAAGTGTGTCTGGCTGCATTTTACTTACTAACCACAATATATTCCCACTGCCTCAGTGACATTTTGCTATTGAAGGAAGTGCTAATCAGCTGGAGACTCTGCTACTATTGCATGCAGCCGACAAGTTTCATAAAACTAGCAGAGTGCAACAGACAGCCAACGATTTAAGCAAAATGGAAACAGGCCTGTCCACTACCAAGTGAGACATACTTCTGCCTGCGTGTCTGTGATCCAAAAGCTCACTGTTTGACAAGCAGCAGCCAAGTTCTTATTTCACCAGCCGTAGGACTGGAATCAATAATTCTGCTACTTTTGAAACAAACTCTAACTAGCTTTTGATGTTTATATTGTACCTTAAGGAGGTAAATGGGGAAATTGTTTCACACCTTTTCTAGCGCTATTGTGTTTCTAGAGATTTTTAAATATTAATTTTTGCAGGAAAATATGTTTCTTTAGGGAACACAAAACCATAAAGCAAGTATGAATATCACTGGGCTAACACTTGAAATGAATCATTTTGGCTATTGAAAAAAAAAAGGACAACCATATATTTATGCATCTAAAAATTACTGAACCATGAATATAAAGAACTGTTGTCATCATCATTAGTTTCTTTGCTGCAAAAATACTAAATATTTCTGAAAAAAATGAAATTATTTAATTTGAAATAGTGCTCCATAAGTGAATCACTAGGTTGGCTTTAGCAACTGCGTAGCTCAAAGGAGAGCAAACATAAACATAGATATCACTATAAACTGTAAATCAATATAAAGTGTCCTACTAATATACCCTATTTTTGATTACAGCAAGTATATATATTATGAATTCACATGGAGTTAATGGATTAATAACGACTAAGATTAAAATGGTTTATATTCAACAGATCAGTGCATGCCTTAAACTGTAGGTTATACAGTGACGTCTGCAACATTTTCATAGCCATATCATTATCATTAACTCCTAACCAGTCATCTGTAATTGCATACATGCAATGTGTGGCTGATCACTCTTTAAGAGAAAGGAAGTAGAGGCGTATAGATGATGGTACTAAAGGAAAAGGCAATATTGTAGAACACACTTTTTCTAAGAAATACACCAGAAACAGTAAGTCGTATTATTTTTCCTTGACTCTGTTAAATTCATTTAAAAATGTTCAATACTTACCAAAATGTGTATTATTTCTTCAGGTTTTTTATCATCTACAGGAATCCCATTGACTTCCCTGAGTTCATCACCAACGTGAATAAGACCTACAGAAAGAAAGGAGGAGCTGTTAAATGAAAACTCTGCATAATACAAAAGACGCCACCAGCAATCAACATTTTTCCTCTTATTCATCTACCTTAAGGTCAGGAATATATGTTGAACACAACAATAGGTACTGTACTCCCAGATAACCTTGAGATAGTTGGTGTACTCACCCCCTTCCCTTCCTCCTGAAAAGTAGCACCATTGCTTGTATGACTTTTCCAGACTGTCTTGTATGCAGATGTTTGAAAAATGTCTGTGCCAATTCTCTTTCCACTCACACTACTTTCTTATCGCTACACAGCTGGCAAGTACTGCAAAGACGACCTAAGCTGTGAGTGCTAATTTGGTGGCACAAATGCTTCCTAATTTAACAATATATATCTAGATTCACTCCATACAGCTATTATTGATTCTCTTCAATGAAAAGGGACAGGCACCTTTAGAGTATAATTCAGAACCCCTCGCTTAAGTTCTTGTAGATTTTAAGCATCCCAAACAATGGGAGTCAGGGATGCGCTGATATTTTGAGAGTTACCAGTTGAAACTCAAAATGGATATACTAAAATCTCCAAATGTTCTTAAATGATTCTGATTACTTCAGCAAGAACAGCCAATGGAAACATGAGAAGTAAAAGTCACTCTCCCCAAAAAAGTAAAAACTAAATTTAACTGTAGTGCTTCAGAGGAAAAAAGGAAAGAATACAATGATGTCAATATGAGTTCTTTGTGATAACAGCCACCCATGTAGGTAATTCAGGTTATTATTTTTGCATTAGTCAGAAACCACAGAGCACTCAAAAAAGACACCTTGATTCAACAGCTCTTAGAAGTGATTTCCACAGGTAATCTTTCTACTGAATTTCAACAAATCTGAGGGCTCCCCTAGGCAGAGGGAGTGCCACAAAGTACTTCACTTTCTGAGCCCCGTGTGTTGTGCTTTTGATAAATATTCCCCATGCATTATATTGCCTCATTTACTCAGCTCCTTTAATCATAACTTTGTAAAGGTCATTATTTGTCTGTTTAAAATCTCGACCAAAATAGAGAAAACAATCAGTCAATAACAAAGTAAAACTACAAGGTAGTTTACTCTTTTTTTGAAGACACCCTTAAAAATGTAGTGCTGCACTAAATGGCAGCACTATAAATGAGCAAAATAGTTTGAATAAAATTGGAACTGAACACAATTGTTCTCAAGAATGAAACCTCTCAGGCTTGTCAGGAAATTACATAAAAAAATCACTCCCTAGCTTAATCTAAGATGTACAATGACAAATTTTTGCCATCGTTTTATTTCCACCCACAAAGAAAATATAAAGAATCTTCTCAAAGGGACATCCAAAATCTCATACAAAATAATGCAGCAAATTATAATTTGGCTTAGCCCATTTCTTAGTGGATGTCTTCAACTGTAAACAAACCATGTTATATAAAAACCTCAACAAAAAGCTGTATTTACCAACTGAAAGATACTCTGTTGCAAGTGAATTGGGGAAACAATTAAGCATGAAATACTTTTACCAGTATTGAAACATCACTTTGGAAAACTTTCCAAACCTGAAAAATTTTTGTTTGTGATACTGTTGTATTTCAGGCATACAGAATGTTTCCATTTCAATTCATTTTCTTCTGGGTTATGTAACTTGAATGGCCAGTGCCAAGAAGCAACACCTTACCACTTCTATCTGCAGCTCCTCCACGCATTATCCTGGCCACCACAATTGCACCAGTATGTTCATCCCTTTTAATAGTAGCTCCCTTTAAAAAAAAAAAAAAAAGATTTTTGATTAGTCTTAATGTAATTTTAATTCACTACCCTAACTCGCAACTACATTTACTATGTAAAACTGCAAAATGCTGATGTAGTAGTGATGTGTGAATAAGCCAGAAATGACACTTGTTCATAAAAAGGATATACAAAATACGTCCCACTATGATGATCTTAAGGTCTGTGACTTGGGGTTTTTTCCTACTCAGTAGTGACTCACCCATTTTGCATGTACACAGCTTTAAAAAGAAGTACAAGCGACGGAAAAAGCGTACTTTTCAACTTAATGTTACCAACTGCAGAGCACATTACTTGCGTCTGTTGCTAAAACTGTGTTAAACTATTACTGAAAATTGATAAAATGTTGTTCCCATATTACAAGGGCCATTTTGCATACTACGGGTACAAAAAGTTTATCCGTATTTGTAAAAGTTGCACTTTGCATTCAGAACTGCCTGTGCACTCACTAACAATTATTGTGCTTTTTTGACAACAGAGGTTTACAGCGTTATCAAGAAATAAACATAGATTTAAGAAATCCTCCTGTACTTCAGTGCTTACCTGGAGTACATGAGGGGCAACGCACAGAAGGCAGCAAAGTGGAACGTTTCCTATATTAGTCACGGCTGTTTTCACACATTACATAAATACAGTGGAAGACATGTAGGTAAAATGACATCATGTAGTTAAATTTCTAGTGCATAGCTGTGTAGATCATAAAAATGCCTTTGCAACCAGAACTGCGAGCGTGTTCTGAAAAGAGGCGCAAAGTGAGGAGCGAGAGTCCTGCAGACCAGCAGGAACAAGTGAGAAAAGACAGGAAGCCAGAGGCACTGAACCCCCGCTTAAGTCCTAGCGACAGTTCCTTCAAGCAGACCAGAAGCAATGAGGTGGGGAAATTCCTGCCTTATCCTGGAAGACAGAACCCACAAAGCAATGAGGGGCGTTACGACTATGCAGGAATTTCTTATGGTACTTACAGTAATACTTATGTTATAGTAATACCTAGGTAGCCATATATGGTTATATATTATATATGGTTATATATAATTATATGGTTATATATTATATATGATTTTTATATATACACACACATATATACGGGCACTATGCAAACTGTATTTACTACAAATAGAGAAAACTGCCTCCAAAAAATTAATACAATCACCACACAAAATCCTCTTCAGCAGAAACTTTAATAAAAGCCAGCACTCCACAGTAAAATCTTAGAGTTGTGTATTCTGTTTTACTGATCTTTGATTTATTTGTATGAAATTCAATCTGCAAACAATGGGATTCTGCCTTTTGCTAAACTTATATATTGCTTCTTATGCAATTATATTCATAGATATTTGTTTGAATTCCTTATTATGACCTCGTTTCAGTTTCAAATAAGTCTAAGAGTTGAGAAGGAATTACAGATTTAGCTCCAGTTAATCTCACTTTAAAAATTCATGACTTTAGACTTCCGTATAAAAAGCATCGAGTACCATTATGAATAGATCAAATCAAGCGTTAACATACCTAGCCTACACCTCAATATTAAGTTCTGAGCTTCCAGCAAGAGCTATTATTTTGAAATTTATTATTAATACCTGAACAGTAACATCTGTTTCAAAGTACTACGCATTTTTTCTTAATACATTCATCAAAAAACCAAAAAGCAACATTATGACGCTAGAGCCAAATACAAATACAGGGTATTTCCACTGTATTGTCCGTACATAACAGAGGCTCCCATTCTGCAGTAAAGGAACCTTGAAAGGAAGAGGCTTCATGCCTGTTACCTAGAAGTCAACACTGTTGTATTTCACTGAATGCAAAGTGCAAACCGTGACTGTCAGCCTTCCACTGAGATCATCCAACCACCCCCCCACCAACGCTGATGTCTGAAAATGGTTACTTAACTTCACCTTGTTTTTAGACAGGCCCTAGAAAAGACTGGTCTGGAATCAAAGAACGTAGTATTGACCAATACTGACATCTGGAAGTAACGATAAGGCACTTGGCAAAGCGGAATGGTTATTTTATGCTTTATGCAATTGCCACTACCAATATATTGGCACAAAATGAATTCTAAGCACAGATCAGCCGCCGAGAGAGAAGTCACAGAAAGTCACAGTGATCTGGAATCTTCGCACAAAGCACAAAATCAAGTTAAAGTTTACACAAAAATTATTGACCCCAGGTTAGCTAATTGAAAACAATTCCTTCACGGTAAACTCAAATATCAAGTGAACGGCAGCCCCATAAGAAGCAGCAGCTGAGTTTTGTGATGTTTGCTGTACCTATAGCAAACACAGAAAAAGGGAGTTCTTCAAATTTCCCTCCCCTCCAAAGTTAGAATACTTAAAAAGAAATCATCAAACACAAATGGATTTCTTTTTGAGTGCATGGAGACTTGATTTTCTGAAAAAGCAGTTTCTCTTGCACTGCTGCCAGCTCTGCTTAAACTATGAGGTATATATAATCTGGCAAGAATTTCTTATTATGAGATGTTCAGCTCCAATACTTTCAGTTACATGTGCAGTGCAGCTCCTCATTTAGAGCTTTAAAAATGGAAGAAGGTTAGGCTGGACCTTGAGAGTTGGAAAATATTTTCAGTGTTGCTTGCCAAAAGTGTAAGTTACCCTAAATGAGACATACACAGATGTAATAGCATAGCTCAGTTTAAAATACTTTTAAAGGGAAAAATAAGGAGTTTGGGATCCATATGGCGATGAGACTGAGACAAAGTTTAAAGGTATACCATGCAAAAGCACTAAAAATAATACAAGCTCCTTCAGTGAGGCTGCCTCTTCATTTTTTTCATTTCTAATGTAATAACACGGATCGGTGAGCACCACTCACAGTTTCACAGTTGTGAGCTTTGTTATTTATCTGCTTGTTCCAGAATATAAACATCACAAGCCTTTATTTTTCAAAGACAGACAGACTAGCCTGTAAAATGAATTACTAATAAGGGAGTTCGAAACATCAGTAATATTTTCGCATACCTTTCTGTTAAACACAAGCACATGCAGGCATTGAATGCAAATGAGAGCTTCAGCAAACCTTATTTTAATGAATTTGGTATTGAAAGTACAAACACAAATATCAGTTACCTACCTTATAGTGAACAGTTATTTAAAAGGCGATGACTAAATTCCATTCTTGGTGCACACAGTAGACTATGCACACAAAAGCAGACCTATTGACAGTACCCACTGAGGTTGTCCCTATACCCAGGTTAATCCCACCTATAAAACAGATTTATTTTATTTGGTTCATTCACTAATAAGAGCCCAGCTATCAGGACTGTGATTAAGAGGCACAGAGGGAGAGCTGTGGACTCTATGCGGGCAGAACATGAAAGAGAACATTCGTAATCACAGCAATTCATTTCACCCACGTTTAGCTCTGGAAATCAGGTATCTAGTTCAAACCAGGTGTCCAGGCTCCTCCTGTAGTTAATGACAAGAAATAGGCAGCTCTGGAGAATGAATCACCCCTTTGTTAAGACAGGCATTTCAAAGAGATGGAATGATTCAATCTTGGGAGCTGCCTACATTTTCTTGACTACAGGCACAGCACAGAAGTTAGTTTTCAAATAGCTAAATTTGTGTGAAATGAATCCGTGTGACTAAAAAGCAATCATCTTAACCTGAAGAGGAATCCTGTTCAAAATAACTGCAGCCAATTCTACCAAACTTGGAATCTGATTTGGAAGCTAGGGCTGGAAGCTGTCAGAGGCCAGTAGCTGCACCGAATGCCTGGGAGCACAGTTGTACATTGCAGATATCAGGAATGTTAACCAGGAAGACTCAAATAGCTGGAAAAAAACCTAGACTGTGGCACAAGCAAAACCCTTCCAAGCTATCTGATAAAAAGCCTGGCCAGGTGAATTTTGGACTACCTCCAAAAAAAGGATGTCTCTAGTCGTCTACGTAAGGCTCAGAGAAGTTCCAAATCACCTTGTTGAGATGAAGCCTCCTAATATGTAATTTCACCTCACATGAGTAAGACCGTTAACGGCATTTGCCAATAGAGCAGTAAGGAAAAAAAAAAAGCTGTAGAAGGATGAACTGAAAGTTTAAATCACCTTTTGCAAAAGAACTGGGGGGAACTTAAGCAATGATTTCAAACTGTATGAAATCTGGCAAACAGAAGGCCCTCCCTCCACAAACCCTGTGCTTTCTTCTCACAGTCTTCTTTAATATGTGAGTAAGGTCTCAGAGCAACAGTGAGTTCCTTAATTCAGAGAAAAACATAAACAGCGCAAGAGGAAATGTGGTGCAGTTTGATACAGAAACGGGCACAAGATACATTCCAAAGGAGTTTAGAGAGTGTCTAGTTTGCTTCACAGAGAATACTGGTCAAAATAACCCAAAGGAGACACAGGCAAGAACCTCTAGCACGGGCAGCTGATGTAAAGCTTATCACTTTGCAGAATGAAACCCCTCTCGCTACTGCTTGCTTGCAAATAAAGAGTTTACAGATAGAAGATTAATATAAAAAGAAGCTGAGCTACTGGACAGTGAGGATGATACTCAGAATCACAAACCGAGTAAAGGTTTGTCCTAGTTTGTCCTAAAAACAATGACATCACACATGCAGGTAAAGGCAAACCATAATAATACAGAATAAGCATGTATCATATTTGAGGTGAAAGAAAACTTCAAAGAGCTCAATATACTCAAGTCAAGAAACTAGGGAATTTCCATCTGAGAAAGCCATTGCGTGGTACCGCCAACCTTAAGTTCAGTGGCAAAAATTCTGATTTATCTATGTGAGAGTCAGACTTTATGGCTGGAAAATAGTGAATAGAACTGATCAAGCCGGATAATCTTTGATCTAAACTCAGCTAAGAGTATACAAGACTTTATAATAAATTCTGAAGGAAAAATCATTAAAGAGACATAAAAATAAATAAAAAATAAAATTTAAATGGTTTAGTAAAGGTTGACCATGGCATATCTTTCTTTTACTAGTAAGACATCTTCAGGAAACAGAAATGTGATAGATTTAACATACACAGCATAAACCTGTTATTTCTACTTCACTGTGCCTTACTCTGGTGAGAATTTATCTGAATTATTATCCATCTTTATTCTCATCACTCTTTAAGAAAAAAAAATCTGGGGAAAACGCAGACAAAGACAATAGGTTTGTTATCTACTGTATAGAGATAGCATCTAAGAATCAAGAACTATAAATCAGCCACAAAGAAATTAATGTTTGACATTAAAACGGAATGAGGGAGGGTTGTGGAAGAGGAGGAAGAACACTGCACAGCATTCTTGGCAGTCTTCTTGGAGAACAAGCAACATGCAAACCAGAACTCATCATAAGATCTTCTCCAACAAAAATAAAACACGCAGATAGCCTGGAGATTCGGAGAGACCACAGATACTCCTTTCCTATGCAGGTACGATACAATAGTAGACAGGCAGGTTGAAGGGCTCTCAAAGTTATTTTGGTCAGCCTCCTGCTCAGAATAGGACTACTCTTCATGCCAGATCAGGTCACCCTTTGCCCTATGGCATAGGCTGGAACATAGGATGGAGATTTTGCAGCCTCTCTGGTCAGTCTTGTCCAATGCTCTACTCCCGACCTCAAGAAAAAGTTTCCTTAATGTCCAGTCTAAACCTCCAAGGCTGCAACATGTGACCATTGCCCCTCGTTTTACCGTCTTTTAACCACTGAGAAGAGTTTGACTCTACTGTCTTTGTAAGCTTGCCCCCCACCACCCACCAAGTAGTCGTAGACTATGATTAGATCTCCCCTCAGCCTCCTCCTACAGATATAATGTAGTATTAACTCTATCTCAGATATATTACAACGCTGTTTCAGCCTAGGTAATAAAACGAAACAGTATTAGTGATACCCTGAAAAACTGAGCTCTGTCATATTCTGATACTATCCACTGCTAGTGTTCTGTCTGGTAGCAGAAAGTCCTAATAAAAGCACAACCGTTATGATGAATGTAGATATTCCTGTAAGAGACACAGTTATTCAGAAGAATCTAGTATTGCACTGGAGCGAATGGGCAAGAGTCGAACCTGACAGACAAAGGATCACCTTTATCTTAGGCAACTCTATCTGTTCTTTTAAGAGGATTTAAAATCTCAAAAGCCATTATACATTGATATAATTTTTCAGAAGTTTTTCTCACAGTTTTGTTTTGAAAGTTGCTATTTATTCCAAAATATTTTGAGATGATGTTACAGTATTCAACTTGCAAAACGTTTTAGGAGCAAATCATGTTTCAAATGTGAAATGATGTAAATTAAGATTTTGCATCATTAAGATTTTCTCACATAAATTCTAGCAAAACAACAATAAGGGTATTTTCATTTACACTAAAAAAAGTTGTTTAATTAGAACTTATTCCATATGGTATGTTCAAATTTCTTCACCTGTTGCAGAATTAATCCTGTTTCTGATACTAAATTGTAATGCAAGTTTGTTTTCGTCCTTAAAGAATATCCTTGATACAAAATAAAGAAGAAAAGCTTAGTAAATAGGCCCACAATTTAAATATTTGAGAAAAAACACTGAATATGTTAAGATCAAGTAAACACTTTCCATATGGTCAAACTTTTAATGGAGCCCATGGGCACCTACAGCCAGTCAATACTAAAACTCATTTCTTGTTTACTGACACCAGACATCCATCCAGAATGAGGGCTGGTACTAAGATATCTACGGTTAGACAAGCTGCCGCTGTGTATCTAACACAGGCATCACTCTCTCCCTGTCACCTCAAGTACAGAATTGCAGCTTTCTCAAAGTAACTTTGCAGATATTTCTTCAGGATTCCTATCTTAAAACAAATATCCAGTATTACATTAAACAAAGTTTTTGTTGGTTTGCACGAGAGCAGGAATATAGTTAAATTTTATACAAGATGACTCCCACTCTACAGCAAATAAAAATAACTAAATCAGTAAAACATTTTAATATTCTTGTAATACAGCCTAGGTTTAGCCCTTTCATTTTTCCAGATATCCCCATGAAGATATTAACTTTCTAGTATTCATAATCCAAAGTACAACAACAGACATCTTAAATTTGTCCAGATTTCAACTGAAGTATTTTAAAATATGTTTTCATGCTCTCTTTTCAGTGTATCAAAAGGTCACCTTTTTTTTTTTTTACACAAAAACTAACAGGCATGGTTCATGACAAAGGTCAAGATTTCTTTGGGGATTCATTCTCCTTCTCTCTTTTTAAAACAAGTTCCTGATTTAAATTCAAGATAAATGATGACTATATTATTGATATAACCACTCAGTGCAGCCCGCATATATAATGCTCAAACACCATAAATGAACAAATTCCCATTATTCATTTGACATACTTTATTAATAATAATTGAAAATGGAATTCATAAGTGCATTACTTAAAATTGTGGATAAACATGCATAATGCCTATCTATTCACATTTCTAGTTAATGCTACCCATTCATGTTCATAATCTGAACACTCTCCATTTTGTGCACACGCACAAAAATCCCAAACAAAAGGCAGGATTACTTACCAACGGTTCCCTGTTTTTGACAAGTCTGATTATTTTAACCGAATCTTCTTCCTCATCAATATCGTCAGGCATGGGGGGCAATACAGGATCATAGTTCTTCTGAGCAACAGTGTCATGCACAGAAAGCAAAGCCTGGAAATGTTAAAGGTCCATATATTATTTGTCATCTGAAAATTTATGAAAGACAAAACAGAGGAAGTTATTTATAGCCTTACTCTAATAGTGTCATGCACGTAGACAATGTAATTCTTGAATATAACTTTAACATAGGTCAAACTGGGATGAAAGAATTCCATAGAGTAAATATTTTCATATACACAATGTATGCATCGATAATAAATTGTGGATACAGAACATTGTCTGCACCCACATGACAACGTTGAGAAAATGCCTTGCACATTAGCTTGAAATTACAAAAACTCTGCTCACGAGAAAAATCAAGTCTCTTCAAGCGAGCAAGAATATCATTCTACTAGTTCTACATAAAAGTTTCTTCAATACACTATGCGGTCCTATGAATCAAATAAGCAAAGTAAGTGTCTTCCAGGACTTCTGTTCAAGCGTCAGGTACATGAAATCTGGCTGTTGCCCAACGATTCCCTTCAAAGGAACTCTGTAAGCTTCCTTGGTGAGTGGCTCCCTTTCATACTAGCTCCCTTTCATATCGGCTCCAATTTATTTTAGGAATTTTTAATTTAACATGGAATTCATTACTGAGACTGAACAACATACTGCTGAAACTATTTGGCTTAGGCAGGTGCTTATCAGCCACCTGTCACATGTCCTGCTTCCTTCCTTTCTCTTTCTTCGTTGTTTCTCCAGCTCATGCATGGCTGGAATAATAGATTTTTCAAAGAAGAAAAACTTTGTCCTAACAGAAGTGCTCAGTCTTAAAAATTAAAGAAAATAAGTTGTGAATCTGCAGAAGTTCAGGAATCTTGAAAGTCAAAGGAAGTTGGAAAGCTAGTTCTTTTAATTCTCTCAATGCTCTAAAAAAATCTCAGCTATAATCCAAAATTCACAGCTTTTTCTAGTTACAGAACTCTAAAAGAGCTTCTTCTTTATTTTGAGAAGTCTTCATTGCTTGTAATATCTTTTAAACTGGTGGAAAAAATAATGCATTTACTTTTTGAATTGAAACTATATATTATAGTTGGCAAAACAGTAAGCACCAAATTATAATTATAATGGTTTCCGTTGCTTTCAGTTGCTTCTGTTTTCAAATAGCTGCTCTTGACTATTTCACATTTTGACTCGATATTTTTGCACAAGTTTTTGCCAATATTTTAAAAAGCCACAGTTTGAAAAACAAAATTAACTTGCAAATTGATAACCTTCCTTACCATAAAAATGAAACCAAAAAAAGTGTTTTGTAAAATGTTGAGATGTTTAGGATCAGGCAGCAGATATCATCCTTGTTGACATGGATAATATCAGAAGGCATTAGATCACTGATTGTTAGAATGAAGCTATTATAACAGTTATTATAATGATCAAGAAGAAACTCCTTAAATCAAGAAGAACAGCATTTGGCTCTATTTCTCTGATGACAGTTTATTTGCTACTTAATAAAAGGCAGATAATATTAGACAGGGTATATAATCAATCAGAAACTGTATGTTGTCAAAGGTAATGTAAATGTTTTTAAAAAACATGGCATTTCCATTATGCTATTCTGTGATTCTTTTCCCGAAATGGAGGAGAGAGTAAAAAGCTGCAACCAATTTCCAAGCAATGCTACAAGCTATCATAATAAAAGTAGGAGACAAAGGGCGTAGGGTAAAGTTGAAAGTCTGAGGGTTAATTTTTACACAAGGTCTTCAACGGCATGAGTACACCGGAATACCATGCCTGCTGCATGAGAACTTGCAATTGCCTTGCTGATTGCTATGCATATTTTACATGCTGATGATAATGTCTTAAAATTCTGTAACTAACTATTCTAGTTTTTCCTTGCCAAGACACTATTGTGAATATATACTGTTTACAGTCATAACTTACCAGCTCACTTCCACCAAAGATTAGTTTTACTTTATATCTGAGCTAACAACCTCAGACTAACAATTATGATTCTTGCTGGAAACACGTATTATGAGGAATTACATAGGAAAAAACACATGCAATTGCACGTAATCCTCTAAAATGTATGTGAAATATCAAGAAACGCTAAAAGAAAATTAGTGTTTGCTTTTACTTTAAGCTACTTATAGTTCAGATGTCTAAAACTAGTATTCTGCAATTACGTTTTTCCACATAAAGCTCGGGCATGCTCATGGACTGGTTCAATTTAATGAGGTTCTACATTTCAGTTTAAAAACAATCAGGCAGACAGAAAAAACAGATGAAAATAATCTGAGGTACCCTTTCCACAGTAAAAAGCAGCAACTTAAAACAGGTTCAAAAGCAAATACCCTTGTCAATGTAACTTGCAAAACAGGTTCTGTCCAACACTAAACTGAATTATGCCATCAGCGTCAGCGCGATACTTCCCCGCTACCGCTGCCAGACCAGGCTCCTGGACACAGCGTGCAGAAGAATCACGCAGCACAAGTATTATAAATCCATGCCAGTCAACGTCTGCTATGTACGAAGCTTTTTTTCGCTCAGAACAACTGGAACTTATCATCCCCTTCCCTCCTCCTCCCCCAAAACACAGTAAACCACAGCGTACTGAGGTTTTCAACATAAGACCTTTTCCCAAAACTCTGGTGTTATTTTATCTAACAGCAAAGATGCATGCTTTGGTTAAGAGTATCAAAGGCAGAAACGATGTGTGTTTGCTCAGTCAGGTTTCCAGGAGAGCTGCTGTCATCCCAGCCCGCTTATGCTGCGCACCGAACATACTAAGCTTTCTTTCCTGCTTGTCTTCTGTCATTGCTTCCTTTAACACACTGTTCTCTGTCCACTACAGCTGCTCTTGAAATAAGTCAGTGGCACAGATACGGGGCAATAAATAATCTGCAGGCAAAACTTAGAAGTTATTTTGCTTTTACTTAAACAATTCAACTAAAGACGATCGATCAGAACATGTCCTCAGGAGAACCTTCATGTGCTTCAGGCACATGGGAAAAGGACTATATTCACAGACTCAACGGACGTTTCTTCAGCAGCTTCTTTGGACTGTGTGTTTAATTTAACGTATGCTTAGTCCAAATAACCGTGTATCTGACTAGATGGTATATGAAAGTTTCAGATTTTTTAAAAAACAAACTAATTGCAAGTGCCAAGGGACAAAACTGAAACTCTCATGAACAAAATTCCCAAAGAATAATTGTGCAAAGGCAGTAATGTTCTCTTTTCATACATAAAAAGTGATTGACTGATTCATTGCAGTTTTGCATTCGGGGATACTAACTTTTGCCCACCAGAGCAAACTGCAAGAAGTACAGATACCTTTTTGGTTTTTTGTTTTTGTTTTCAAATACACAGCTCGTCAGACCTAAGCATATATGATCGAAGATTAGGGTCAGGAATATCTAAGCGCCTCTGGAGAAAAGGATTTTATTTCAGCTCTAAGGTCTACGCTTACGATTCACTAATGTAAACAGGGTCCATATTTAGAACTTAGAAGACGGTATGATTCAAACTCCTGCACTACCCAAGTATAAATATTGATGTTCAGCTAAATTCTTAGACACGATCTAGCTGGAAATGAATACTTTCATCAGGCCCCCGAAACGTCTAATAACTAGTACTGTATTTTTCATATTAAAGCTATCACTGATCATTTCACAGTTTATAAATTGAAATTTTTGCACTATCAACTCACACAAAGAAAATCTGGCACTGAAAAGATTTGAAGTTCTTAAGTTAGCTCTGAAATATTAAATGCTTATTTAAATTGAGAATGTAATTAATGAAAACAGTTCTCTATTTTGATAAATGTGCATCATTTAACTACACTACATTTTTCTTCCTCTAAAACAATGACAAATTTTACATTATTTCTGCTTCTGTTTATATTTTCGAATCTGCAAGAAAAAAAATCCTCAAGTAGCCACTGACTTGTGATCGCAGCTCCTTATAAGTTTTTTTTCACTCTCTCACTATTTTTAAAAAACGTATGTTTAAGCTTGACTTCTCAGAGCTATTTTACATTTACGACTCTAGAGAAACATTTCAGAAAACAGAGCAATTAAAAAAAAAAGGCAAAACAGAATGGAGAAAGAAGCAGAAGGACCCTCTCTCATGACCGTACTCCAAAAGCCAAGATTAGAAAATTAAATACCTAATAGTCAAGATTATAGAAATAAAATTCGTAAGGACTCAAACTAACCTTCACGAAAGCAAACAGCTGCAGCAGTTTAAAGCGCTGCCAGCGCAGCTGCTTGTTACCGTGCCTGTTGTGTGCATTACTGTCCCGCGAGCCGAGCCAGCAAAAGGGAACAAAGTGGCCCGTGACTTTGCTGCACCAGCCCCCTGTTTGGATCATTAGCCGAGGCCGCTTTCACTGGCAGTTTAAGTTGATAACGTGAGCTTTGAGCTGTATCAGGTGAGACATCCTCCGATCTCTCAGCTTTGCTATAGTGATAGGAACTGCCACTGAGGCTGCAGCGGTTAAAGCTGTGCAGCAGGAAAAAAGTAACTTCAACAGCAGCCGCAGCAACATGCCCCTCCACTCACCTGGCAGAGCTCTTATTCTGGAGAGCTTCAGCCATCTTAATTCCTTTGTGTCCTATTTTCCTTTGTGATAGGGTTACAGAAGAAATACAGACAGACAAGCCGAAAATGGAGGCGGAAAAAATTATTCAACACTGGAAAGATTGATTTGTGAGTAACTTGCATATAGGTAAAACGAAGGCAGTGAAGTCACGCAGAGACAGGTGTCAAAGTAGAAAAACTCAAAGACAAAGCTAAAATTGCTCGGAGGAGACTGGATCCACTGAAAGAAAGGCTGACAGAGCATCAAAGTGGAAGGAGAAGCCTAAGAATCATAAAAGCCAAGTATGCACAAGAATTTAGGAAGCAGTCGAGTAAAAACAGCAGAAAGCTGAAGCATCATGGTGAAGGCACACACGCTCTGGAATTTGGCACGTAAAAGTGATTGCATTTGAGCACAGTTTGGAGAAGAAAGGAATAAAAATAGAAGGTATTCAGAATGAAGCTATACATTTAAGAATAACTGGTAAACA